AGTAACACTGGAGACAGAAGTCAAGGGCTCTGAGCTCCTGGTCTGACTCATGCAACAAGACTACTTTCTGATAAATTTGTAAATGCCCTCCACAAAGAATAACTTTCCCATGATAAGAGATTTCTCAGCTCTCAGAAAACATAAAAGCTGGAGAACTTAAAGCTAGAAGTAAGGTTTGCAACACCAACTGTATCAGGCACTAATCTAATGGTACTATGTAGCAGCAGTAGCTGCGGGAGAACTAAGCACAAGTAAAATTATCTCTTCACCAGTACACAGAGCAGTTCAGTGACTTCCTAAATTAAAGGCTGCACACCAATTATCCTATCTACTAGCTTGTCTCAATCTTTTGGAGCCCATTCATATTTACAGCCACAAATCCTGAACGGTCCTACCTTCCTAGATCTCTTCTGGCATTGTTCCCTTTTTGAGTGAGTAGGGAAGTGGACACAGAATTCAAGTTATCAAGAGACTATGGATTTATGTACCAATTTAACAGTTTCTGCTATATTCTTAATTTGTGCAGACTTTATCAGTTCCTACAAGCAAGCCTCGTAATTTTTGAATTAATTTGTGCTGCTTGCATCTAAATGCATGTGATTGCTTGAGTTAGGATGGGAGCCAATTACATGAGTATGCTGAAAATACAGAGCTCTTATGGATTCTCCTTCTAGGCAACATCCTATGAAATAGCTGAGATGCAGACATACAGAAAAAAACGGAGACACTGGTGATGAGAACGTGCAGAGATACTATCCAGTTCATCAGGAATGAATGAAATCCTCTTCCTCTTCATAGTGATACTTCAGGAAGACAGCTGGGGAGGGGAAAAGCAGAACTTCCCGTGACAGAAAAGTGAAAGTGGGGATAACAGTGAATCTCTATAGTAAATTGAAAAAGAGGGAAGATGGATTATTACAAATAAGTTTCTAAGACAAGAAAAGCACAGTAGCTCAAGTAGCTCAAGCTACAGCTGTTGTACAGTGTCAGTGCAACTGACACAGCAATTCTGATGAAAAAACAGGAATGAGAACACAGAGGATAGATTCAAGAATGCTGGAAAGACAGCTGCAAAGTTAGAATTTTTACATGTATGAAAAACAGAAGTCCAAGTTAACAGAATCAGCAAACAATATCATGGGTCCCAAAACATTTATGCCATTTATCCCAAAACCTTTAAGAAAACATGGCCAACACCAGCCACTTCCCCTACAGTCAAATGTCCATTTTTCTTGCCTGTAGGTTACAGTCCTGATGCACTAAAGAGAGGAGATGCCTGTGAAGGGGACAGTGGGGGACCTTTTGTAATGAAGGTATGTTCAACAAGTTCAAGCTTATAATATATACGAAGATAGGTTTGTTCTGTGCTGAACTTCATAGTCTAAAAAAAGCAGCAGAGTTGCACCACTGCTGAGTGGCTGAAGCAAACGCACCTCATGCCCAAGGTGAGCAATGGAGACCAATCCTGCAGTCATCCAGCCCCATTTCTATACTGAGCTCTCAGTGTATCACAGATCTCAGATCACCTGCAGGACGCATGAGTGATGGCCAATTCTTAATTAGAGATATAAGAGTAGAGACAAAATGACTCCAACAAACTCTGCTGGAGATGCCAATCTGAAGCCCAAAGTAGCATCCATCATTAAACAGAAGGGCAACCAAGCTGCTAAACAATTCAGAGCACAAGTCTTATGAGGTTGCTGAAGGAGTTGGGCTTGTTTAGTCTGGAGAAAAGGAAGCTCAGGGGAGGCTTCCTGAAAGGAGGTTGTAGCTAGGTGGCACTTGGCCTTTTCTTCCTGTCAAGCAAAGGACAAGAGAAAATGGCCTCGAGCTGTGCCAAGGGAGGTCCAATTTGGACATCAGGAGGAATTTCTTCACTGAAAGAGTGCATTTAGTGCTGTGATTTAGTTAACATGGTGGTGTTTGGTCAAAGGTTGGACTTCATCTTGGAAGTCTTTTCCAATCTTAATGATTCTCTGATTCCATCAAGATCTTTTGCTCCTCATACCAATCCAATTTTTCTTTACTTTAGAATCCAGATGACAACCGTTGGTATCAAGTGGGAATAGTTTCATGGGGAGAAGGCTGTGACCGAGATGGCAAATATGGATTTTACACCCACGTATTCCGCCTGAAAAAGTGGATACGAAAAGTCATTGAAAATCAGGGGCGATAGATGAAGCATTTACATTGCCTGGTCTCAGTTTTCCTACGATGCTCCACTTTAAAACATAAGCACAGAAGATCCTGAAGTAACACAAGTTATATCCTTACAACTTGACAAAGGAAAGTCTTATCCCTTGAGAATAAAAGCTCTGAAACCCATCTTCTTCCTTTTATTCTTGCTGAGTTTAGTTGCAGTTGTGTCTAAGTGATGACAGTAGGCAGGAGTACCACTAGCTATACTGCTAATTACCTGTTGTACTTCAAACAAATTCCCCCCCCTTCCATCAGCTATAACCAACAGGTTTTGGACCCCGCACATTGGCCTTGTCAGTCACAGCAAGCAAGATTATGCCTTCATGCACTATCCCTTTCCTCCCTTCAAGACAACTTAGATTCTATTCTAGTTTTTGACCCATGTATGTACCAGAGATAACCACGCTACAGTACCTGTAGCATTTCGCAAAACACCAATGTCAAAAGTAAAGCAATTAGAAGCTGTTTTGATCAGGCAAACATCGTTCTCAGCTACAACAGCCGGCAATAAATACCACACCACTGTGTGCAATTCATCCTACAAAGGAATAGTAGCTTGAATACATTAAACAGCACTTCCATTAAGTTCCTACACAGCAGGTGGTGCTGGGTCCTCACTGTGTATTTTCCACCTGCAAAGCAAGATTCTGAAGGAAGCAATTCATGTAGTCGTTGTCAAAGCCTGCAATCAGAACATCCTGCACTATTCCTGTTTGCTTGTGTTATAAAGGCTGGTGAGGGATCTCTCCAAAAACAAGCTTCAGTCTTTCATAAGCTCCTCTTTAGCACGAATTTGTGGACCACCAAGGATCCAGAAGCACAGCAGTGAACACAAATTTCTGACCACCCAATTTGTTCCGTTCAATTTTCTACTAAGACAACTGTGAGATTTTTGCCCAAAGCAGAAAAACCAACCTCTCAAAGAAATCTGAAGGAAAAAACCTCAACAGCTCAAGTTTTATGACTGTTTAAAGTCATTGATAACCACATACATTGAACACTGAAAACGTTTAGCCCTTCTAATGTTTATATTTTAAGCCTCACCCCTTCACTACTTTCAAATAATCTGTGACAAAAGAGGGGAACCAGGACCATACAGTTTCTGGAGAAAGTCACTGTTCATATTGACTTGTTACAAAGAATACAGAAGAATAATTTTTAAAACTCAGTTTAATGTTATTTAAATATTGTCTGGGCTAAAGATTAGGCTTTATTAATTTATGTGCACAAGTTTTAGTTCAGAACTCCCAGGATTATTGAGTCCAACCAAACACTACAAAGACACAGGGCAAAAACTCATCCATAAAAACAGCTATATCTTCTGCTACTCAATTATTCCTGTATTTCACTTCTGATTCAGCTTCAAATTTAAAATAGTTTATGCAGGTTTGCAGGCATTACTGTTTTAACATCCTGAGCTAATTAACAAATACTTCAGAATGTCTGCTGAATATGGTAAATAAATATATGGATTAATTTAAATGTCACTAAATTTCAGAGAGCAGCTAGTAATTGAGAGGTAGTGGCAGTAACTGTAATGTAAGTCTAGCCAACACAAACTATTCACAAACTGCCCCAGTTTAAGGGCACAAAACCACAGCACTTACCAATAAGGGCCAAACCTCCACTTGTAACGGAGCTCTGTTCCACAAGTGCATGCTCATTTCAGGTTATGAAAGGAGACTCTGACTACTAAGTTGAGGCAGTGGAGCAATGAATGGGATTACATCAGTTAACACAGGATGGAGAATGCTTGTGATCACCTGCTATCACAGTGTGCAAACTCACCATAAGCACCAAGCAGCATTATGTCAACTGCAACCCCAGTCTAGGGGTGCTGTGAAAGAAAGATTTCAGACATTTGCAGAAGCTCTGGCATAGATCTGTTGTACAAGTACTAATTTAAAGTCACGTTTTTAGTGTAATCAGGCAAGACAGTTTCAGCAATGGCTCTTATGCTCTTATGCTGGTCCACATAGCAAACAACAAAAGCAGCAGTTACATGGAACAGATTAAAAATCTAGCATAGATGTGTGTTATTTTAACCCTGCCTGTCCAACCTTTCAATAGCTCTGTTCTAGCTATGGAACAGATTGCAATTTGTGCTTCACAACCAGTTTTCACATGGAAGTGCAGCAGTAAGGTGAAAATACATGATCTCCCTAGAAATGAAAGGGCTAGAAAGGATACATAGTCTGTCTGTCTTAAATCTTCATTATTTGGAGCTTCTGAAAAAGGCTCTTCACTCATAAAAGAAGTGGCTACAACTTTTGCAGACTAGTTCTATTAGGCGTCTTAGTTATAAAATGGTAACATCTGTTGTTTAAGAGCAAAAAGAATGTAGTGAGTGAGGTTTACCTGCATGAGGAACACTGCTTAACCAGATGAGTTCAGGATAAATGAGTCCACTGACCATACACCACTGCTACTCTATTCCGTATCAACAGCAGCAGGCTCCCTCAAAGAAAGCTCCCTCAGATGGGACAATGCAATCTGGGTAAAGGCATCATAAGGACTAGATAATTCAAATAAACATTGCATCAAACTAAATATTTTCAAGTTACAGAAACATTCCAAAACAAACAAAAAAAAAAAGCAACTATATAAAAATGTACTACTGCTTATAGAAGAGTGCAAAGTCCCAGGACTGCACCCACAGTGTATTTCCACTCATCTTCCTTACAGTGTATCCAAATCCCAAGGTTCATGTCAGCTTAGTTCAGTTCTAGATGCCCAGTCACTAACATTCAGAAATAGAGTGACCTCTAACCAGCAGTTGCTGCTGTTCCTATAGAGGCTGGTATAGTTAATGCAAACTTTATTTACAAAAGACACTTAAAGTAGTTACTTCATGCCATGTGTCCATACAGAATCAACAGTTCAAGGATTACATGGAGAAGAATTCACAAAACTAAAAGCGAAATCACTAAAGGTCTTCTAAGAGTTAAGAACTAGGAAGAGATTTTAAAGACAACTTTACAAATAAAAACCCCAAGTCATGAGAAACTAGTCTGAGCGAGAGGATGGTTGTTTACAGGTCTGTACACTCAAAACTAATACACAGACAGCCTTCTATTGTCAAAGAGATGCTCATTGAGAAGCAGATTATGTACAAATACTTGTGCCACAATGACTCAACCCCCCAAAATCCACTGTATTATACACAAACCAGTTTGTATACATTAGGCCTAAACGAGGCCATTTAACTATGAAGACTTCTAGTTTAGTAAACTAAAGCTGAAGACAGCCCCAAGCAACAGCGACACCGTCTCTTTGCATCTCTATTTACGACTGCTTTTTATTCTCTCCAATCTTTTTTTCAAGTCATCAATATTGGCTGCTGCAGAAGATGGTGAAGCCAGGGTAGTTCCAATGCCAGAGGAATGAGTCTGATTGGAGTCCAGGTCCAGGTGTTGGTATTGCTCCCGGGACTCACGCAGCTGGGAGAGCTTACTGTGAAGCATATCTGTAGAGGATGCAACTGTAGGGAGTGTTGGTTTAGAGAGCAGAGATGTCAGAGGGGGTCTGTCTTCCTGCTATGAGGGAGAAGAGTGAAGTGTTAAGACATATAGTGGTAAAGGCCATATAAAATGCACAAATCATAATCAATGACTTTTCATCTCTACAAGCACTAAAAACAGAGGAAAGGGAAAAAGCACTACAACACAAGAGGATCTGGAGCAATACAGTCAGTTGCTGTCCAAGTCAGAACCATGCAAAGCTAATTATAATGCTCAGTCATCTGAGTAGTTAATGTTTAAATTCATGTCAACAGGGACACAAAGAAACTAGTCTTTCAAGATCAAAAAATTCCCTGCAGACCACAAGAGTTTTACTGAGATAGACTGCCAGAGTCTTGAACAGCCTAAATTCTAACACAAGAGAAAAAATCCCTCCCTATGTGCAACATCAGCAGACAATGAATTTTCTGGAAAAATGAGAAGAGGAAACTTTAACTAACTGGCAAGACTGAATATGTCAAAGACTTAAAGCATCAATTCCACCAATTGATATTTCCATCTGAGTTACTTACCTTGTTACTATGATCTAGGAAACATTTCCCCTTCTCAGAGCTCTAAGCTGATACTCAAATTTGTGTCAAAGGTTAAAACAGTGAGGCATGTGAATGACTATTCCTAGAATGAACATCACTTCTCATGGCTGAATTAAAATTTCAGGAATTGGCACTAGATTCCAAACGCACGGATCATTGAACTGTAAGAAATTTTGGTCCACAGGTTTCCAGTACTAAGCTCATTCATCATTCTTGCACCTCAGTATCCATACACCCAAAATATATAAAACTTCAAAGTTCTAATTCAGCTCTCATGGTTGTTTTATAGCAGAAAGTCTAGAAGTTCCACATCCTTCATGTCTGAGGTGTTAACTTTTAGAGAAAAATTGTTTTTTGAACCTTTCTGAGACTCAACTTCCTAGCAAGGAAAGATAATCAGCTACAGGCCTGTAGAAACAACCTGCACATAACACCAGTGATGCAGACAGAGTGGATGAAAATGCAAGCCTACTTGGCCAAGTAATTAGTTTAAAGCCATTTATATTAGGCATAGCGACGTGCAGTGAGTAGCTAGGACATGCATTATAAATGAAAGATCATAAATTCTGATTGGAATCTACGTTCTGGCATTTGAATTCTTAAAAAAAAAAAGAGCAAACCAAGTTCCTCCCCAGGGGATTTGCAAGTGTTGTCAAGCACAATACCTTTGCGTTGTCGAGGCCACAACGCTGCCTGAGGATTTTTAATCTTTCCAAGTAAACTGAAGGCCCCACTTCCTCCCCATTTGTGTTTCCTATAGATGAAGATACAGTGTGGGTAGACACAGGAACACATGTTCCTTCCATCTGAGGAGAAATTCCTGGAGGATGAGGGGAAGGAAGGAGGAAAGTTAAAAAAATTTGAAGCATCAGAAAAGCGTAAACCTCTTGGTCAGTTCCTTGAAATAAGATGCAATGGATGAAGAATTAACCAACCTATTATTTGCATTTGCTAGTATAGATACATCTGGCCTTTCATTTCCTTGCAAAAGTGACAACTGAAAACCAAGAAAAGAAATGGAGAAATTTAAGGAGTGACTGCAGAGCAGCTCTAGAAATGCTGAAGCCAACAGCTGAAGAGAACAGTGTGGGGAGAGGAGGATGCTGATGTGCATCAGCAGTGACCATAATGTCCAGTGGGAGAACTGACCAATTAACAAGGTGGGAAATACTCGGAGATGTCCGTCTTTTTCTAGTTTAGTCATACCTTTGGGCTTACCACTGATTCTAACCCCTCTTTATCTCTCATCTGTGCAACTTGAAGATTTTTATTCCAACTCAGTCTCAAAGAGTGACTTCTGGAATGCACGTAACAAGGTTTTTAAAGCTTCTCTACCAAGAGACTAGAAAAGGAATTTACATGGCCAAAATTTTTTTCCATTATTAAAAGAATTGCAAATTCTAAGACTTAAAATGGACAAGGATTTGTTCTCACTAATTTACTACAAGGGTGTTTAAAATAGATAAAAGGAGAATCAAGGTTGAGCAGTTATACCTTACTCTAAATAAAGTACTGTTGTAATATGGAACAGCATGATTTATTATATCTGACTTAAAGTTAGGGAAGGAAAAAAAAGACAACTGTGGCACATAAATTAGGTTTTGAAAACTGCTGAACTAATATTTCTCAGTTGTACAGACTTTCATGATGTGAGGTAGAATTTTCTGTCCTACATAGGTGGACGCATTTAGGAAGTTCTGAAAGAACCTCCTATCATCCATCTTTCTAAAGGAATCTACAATACAGGGATAGGAGAGGGAGCTGTAGTAGAAAAAAGGCTCAAGTTTCACAGGAGTAAGAAATAAAGATTAGAGGTAGTTTTGCTAGAGTGTATATCAGCTTTTACTGACAGCTAAAAATTTGTCACATTCCTTCCCTAATATTTCATTAAACACTCCTTTGTATTTATCTGCAATAAAAAGACTCAGCAACAGTTCTACAGTAATTCATCCAATTAATCACAAATTCTGCAGAAATAGTTCATGTTATTTAAAAATAAGCTTTCCAATTCCACAGAAAATAATACTATTAAAAGCATCCTATATATTTTTTAGTAAAAAGGTAAAAAGAGAGTCTGACAGCTGCTGCTGCTGTTTTAAACCAGCTTTATACCTTGCAGATCCAATTCTTGATACCAGACACATGAAACACAAGCTAATGCTCAACCCACACTACAGGATATGGATTAGAACAAGTTTGCCAAGCCTTTCAGATGTTTTCTACATTTAGTGTGGTTATAACTTCTGTTTTTGTAAACAAAGAATGCATACTCCTTACAAATGCTGCCTCATGAAGCAATTCAAGCAGCAAGAAAATACATGGCTTACTTCAGAAATCCATAAGTGTATGCAAATATTAATTTCTACCAGGAGACCTGTAACTGTTCTATCTCTGCTTCTCACAAACCAGTCAGTTTAGCTATGGCATGTACCTGTAGAAGTAGCAATGCGTCCTTTCCCTTCCCGTTCTGTTTCTATCAGTCGGAGGCCTCTTTCCACATAGCTTTGGAAGAACTGTGAGGAATTTTTCAGGAAGGGCTCAATGTCTGCATCAGAATATTTCTTTTTGTATTCATACAGTTCTGCCAGACCCTGGGAGGGAAGAGTTACTATGTATTACTACAACTGCTGCATATACTATTCTAGTGTACCATGCTCTCTTTCTTGCAGGAAGGGGGCACTCACCTCCTTGGTGTTCTCCTTTGAGCCAATCTTCTTAAATATTTCTGCCAAAATATCATTGACTTTGGCTTTCGAAGCCTTTTCCTCCTAAATAAATAAACAAAAGGAGACTTTTAAAACAAAGTATAAAACCAAAAAGAAATCAGACAAACCCATGACACCCTCAGACCTGCTAGCTGGATACAGAGTTTCCAAGATGAAGAAAACCTTGAAGTGATCAGGGTTCTACATAGCCAATTTATACATATAATGTGAGCAAGGACATAAAGAAGCTGTAGGATTCCTTCTGAGAAGTGTTTAAAACGTGTTTTGGATATGGCTAACTTTTAGTGGATCAGATGCAGTACCATGCAGCATAAAACTTTTGCTGCACATTTGAATTTCCTGCAGGGTACTTGTCGTGGTTTGACATGGAAAAGAATTTTCTCAGGAAGAAGAGGGTCAAACCAATCAGTGATCGGGGTTGGATATTGACATTTGAACTGACCACTAAAGGCTGGACACGCCTCTGAGAACACAGAGGGGCTAAAAGCAGAACTCCCAGGGGAACTGGCTCTCTTTGGTTCCAGTCATCAGAGAGTGCAGACTCTCCCCAGGCTGAGGTAGGCTGAAGGGTGGAGGGGCTGGAACTGGCTCCAGCTTCTGCAGATGGAAGGGTGGAGGAAACCTAGGATGTTTCCATGTGTGGCCGCTGGAGCCCAGGCCATCCAGGGAATCGGGACAAACTCCTCCTCGGTTTGAAAGAGAAGAGAGACAGCCTGGGACCTGAGATGTTAGGAAAAGAAGGTTGGGGGAGAAGATGATGGAGTGGCTTTGGCTGGACTTTTCCTTGTTAGCCATAGACTGAACCGATTTCTCCTCCAAGAGAGACTGTATTTTAGGAGGATGCCGGTGAGCCAAGAGACCTGCTTCAGCAGCTGAGAAAGACAGGAGTGGAGCGAACAGAGAAAAGTTGAGGAGGGTTGTGGTGATGCCCCCTGTCTTCAGAGAAGAAGAAGAGAAGAAGATCTCTGTTCTTGAGACCCTTGGCCCCAGGGGGAAATGGGGGGGGACTGCATTCCCAAAAATTAAAAAAAGAAAATAACAGTTCAGGTTTTTTTTCTCTTGGCAAAGCATTCTTGAAAAGAAATCCTAGGAGCAGTCTGTCCATGTACGGTGGTAAGAGCACTGTGCATGGAAAGGAGAGTGTTACACTGGCAGATTTTCTCTGGGCAGTGCCATGTGTGACATAGAAACACAAGAAGTAGCAATTGTGTTTCTTGGGGGGTCTATAGCAGAGGAGGGACTCTTCCCTCCCTTGATGGACTGAGTATTGATTATCTGAAGGGTGGGAACCTGATTGGGGGTCCAAGTTGTGTCTCACTGTGGTTTGTTGGAATTGGCGGGGGGGGGAGGAGGAATGTTTTGGAAGGTTTTCATTTTGGATTTAGTGCGTGTTTTTTCTTTCCTTTTTATTCCCCTTTTATAGTAGTAGTAGTTTAATAAAGTTTCTCCTTTGTTTTAAGCTTGGGCCTGCTCTGCTCTGTTCCTTATCATATCTCACAGCAATCATTTGGGGGGTTGCATTTTCATGGGGGCACTGGCATTGTGCCAGTGACAAACCATGACAGTACTTCATCCTGGAATATACATAAAACACTCAGGTAAACACACACCACGAATACCTGAAACAGCTGTAAATGAAATTTTCACTTTACAAGAGTATCGCCAACATTAGTTGCCTGTTGAAAAGGGAATTACTACTTACACAAAATGTAGTTTGTTTCTTAAATACATTGCTTTACACTCCCTTCCCCTGCCAACACATCTTTACTTACTATGCGAGAAGCTCCTTTTTCTGTATCCTTATCAGATTTTCCACTCTGGTCCATAGTGTGTTTCATTAGTCTACAAAGGTGAGCTTCTAGCTCAGACTCATTTTTGTTATCTATCATTGTTAAATGATCTAAGATCTAAAATGAGAAAAAAAGGGGAATTAAAAAAAGATTGAAAAAAAAAAAAAGGAAAGATTCTAAAGACTGCATGAACATCCAATTTAAAAATACGTGACTAGTGATTGCTCTGACCTTGGGCCCTTTCAGCTTGCACAGGGTGTGAAGCAGCGTCTTCAGCGTCCTAATAGGGAACTCACTCTTACATTGCTTCAGCTTCTCTTTGGGAAAGACCTTCATGAAAATGTGGATATCCAGCAGAATCCGATCCAGATTGATGCTATTAATGGTTTCCGGAAGAAGACGCACCATTCTCCACAGACACTGGAACAAGAGGCTGATTTAAAGCAAGACAACTCAAGAAAGAAGCACTTGATTATATAAGAAGTTACACAACACTATCACTTAGCCACTTCACTCTGCTAGCACATCATGCAGGCATGCACTGTGTCTGCTGTTCAAGCTATATTTGCACTGGTACATATTTTCTCTTTGTAACTGGTTATACAGTATCCAGATCTTTCTTTAGAGCTGATGCATAAGTAAGGTACTGATTTCCCGGCCTGTAACTGGAGACTGAATGCTTTGTGTGAAGAAATTTCAGCAGATAAAATATATATATGCGCTATGTACACCTACATAGAGCTCAAGTTCTTTAGGTTTAACCTCATTAAGAATGCCTGAGCTGTCTTTAAATCATATCAATTACAAAAGGGTGTTGTATGGTACGAAAAGATCTTGCTCATACTTTAAATGCAGACGTTTGCCTGTTCACTCTGCCTGTCAATACAGATGACAGGATACAAGTCAGCTCCAGCCTGGCACTGTTTGAATCCATAGTACAGTGCAGGGCTCAAGCAAACAAGCCCAGCAGGTGACTGTACACCTCTGTATGGAGCTTGTATTAGTGTACACAAGTTTCTGTAAACTATTAACAGGTGTTAAGTTCCCGCCTAAAGTCCTTGTATGTGACATCTAGTAAGATCAGAATTATGGAAGTTGTAAGAAATATTTCAAGTTATGGATACTAATTCTTTTAACTCTATCTGTTCTTTCAGTCAAGATAATTCAGAGAAACCACGTAAGTTCAAAATGCCTACTACAGGCTCACCTTCATGACAAGTTCTGAAAACTTAGGAGAGCTGGCTGTTGCTAGAAGACTGTCTTGAAGCAAGACAAGCAGAGCACTAGAAGGAATAAATTTATAAAGGTTACACAGAAAAAGTGCTATACACAAGAAAAGAAAAAGTTATCAACTCACCACAGAATACCACACCAGAGACTGGGGTTAGTCCAGCAGATGTGCAACAGCTTTCTCGTTCTTTCTTTTTAGCATGTTACAAGAATTTAAGAGACAGTCTGCTGAACTTCAAAGCACAAAGAACCATACTAAGCTGGCTTGTTTAGCCTGCCTCCAGCTGTGCAGTCAAATTCTGATCACAATCAGTGATAATTCTTTATTAGCTAGCTGAAAGATTCTAGAGACACCAGTCTTCACTCACAAAGTGACTAAATAACTCAGCTGTTCAAGGAACATAAGAGAACAAGTAAAGAAGAGCAATAATTGTGCACTTTTCATTACTTACCTCAAGATGTTGGTCTGGTCAGACTTCTCCAGAACTTTCACTACCAAGAGGTTGACTGATCGGATGACCTGCTCACCCTCCTCAAGATCTTCAACCCGAGAATCCAGCATTAATGTAATAAGACCATGCATTAGGTCTTTAAGCACACCAGTGGATGCCTCTCGAGCCAGACTCTCTATCTGAAACAGCTACAGATCGAACAAAGTGTTAGTTTCCCCTGCACATAATCCTTTAGTATAGGGACTTCTCTAGACTACACTGTCAAACCATGACATCTCCCTGTTTCCCACAAAAATAAAAACAGACCTATGAAGAAAGTCTGAGTGACTTCTGAAAATACTCAGGCCACCAACTCAGCACTCAAAAGTTAAAGAATATTAAAAATGAGCTTAAGAGAAGTCTTGTGGCTGTATTTTGCAGAAGCAGAGACCTTTTTTGCTTCCCCAAATTCTTGTTCCCCACCTACTCTCAAAAGGTGCATTGATGAGCAGTTGGCAACAAACCTTTGTAAGAAAGACTCAGTAGTAAGTACAGAACAGACATCCCATTCTCCCACAACTTCTGTACAGAAGTTATTTGCTCTTCACCTTATCTTTTACAGCAAGCCTTACCGTGATCATGCTCCCAATAATACAGCTGTAAAGTCTGACAATCTCATCTTTGTCCAGCTTCTCATCTGCCATGTGTGTATTGTAGATTAACCGGAGCTGTATAAATGTTGCTATTAGGAACTGGTCGATGTGGCCAGACATAGCTTCTGCTTTGTCCTCCTGTTTGAGTACCTCATCGATCTAAGATTTAAAACCAAAATTCTCTAGTAAAGTCAACATAATGCAAACAGTACAAAATAACAATAATTTAAATACTTTTCTGTAGGAAAGGTTTTGCCCTGACCAATCCATTTGCCAAAGCAGTTGTATTCTAAGCTTTCACCCAAAATCAGCAGCTAGAGATTTGTATTGCTAATCCAAACACAATCAATTACTGATATTTTAGAGAACTGCAATCCTATCCCATACACAAATGAAAACATCAACAGCTGCATTATAGATTCTGGAATTTACAGCTTTGTGAAATCTTCTGGACAAAAAAGAACTTTTAAGTAGTTAAAGCCACCCTAAACACATGCATACACTACAGGGCAAGACAATCCTTTTGCTAACGATCTCTAAAGGAGTTCAAATGTAATTCTTACTGACTAACTGTTTTTTACAAACTCATAGCACAAATAATTTGACAAAACCAAAAATATAACACAGAAGTACTAATGAAAAAAGCATTAAGTTTATTCTATATCTTTCAAGTGGAATTTCTATTGCTAAAGCGAGTCAGATGGCCCCTGTGCACTTAGTTTTGTCATCAGGGAAATTCTGAGCAGAGCCCATGTCACCTGACATGATTGCTCCACCACAGTGCAACTCATCACCCTCGCAGGCAAAGTCTGGTACAGTGTGATTAGTTGCTACCGTAATTCACTTACCTGTGTCAGAGCCTGGATGCTTGTATTTATATCACTACTGGCCACTTGGGAAATGACAAAGTTGATAGTAGAAGCTGTGTTACTGTGCATGTCATCGAAATGTGGGGACACAGCACGGATTCTGAAGGGTTGAAAACAGGATTCATTACTTTTTGGAGAGCTACTTTAATGTACACTTAACTGCTGTATTTCAATGAAGATTTAGAGGAAAAAGGATTTCATTCTTCACCGAGGATTCTCAAGGAAAGAATCATTCCTTTAAACCATGTCTGTTGCACTATTTATAAAGACACTGATGATGCGTTTACAAATGCAATATGCTCTAGCTATAAAAACGACTAAGTAGAACTAATGTTTTTCATGCAAAATAACTGCTCTCCAGATTTCAGAAGAGTACAACAAAACTCTGTTTTGCCATCTCTTCAAGTTAGCTGACATTACCCTCTTTTGAAAACAAGTCTGAATGTAGAAGCACTATCAATTCACCTTCTCAAAATACTTTTTAGGCAGTCCTGCTGACTTACATTAAGGAGGTAAAACTAAACTCACTTGGGCTCAGGAATCAATACTGGCTCAAAGATGTCATCTAGTTTGTGCTGTACAAGTGCTGGCATCTCACATCTGACTGTTCCATTGTCATTTTCAATTTCATCAAGATCCAGCTGAAATTCCCGTGGAACTGTATGTGCTGTCTCCGAGTGGTTGCCCATGTTGCGATTTTGGCTACAGAAATCAGGAGAGAGGCAAGAATATTAACACCAGCGTCCACTGGTAGCCCTGAAGCTCTCATACTAATACAGGTTTTGCAGTTTGTATTATATTCAAGCCCCTTAACTCCCTCTGCCTTTCCCCTAGTCCTTAGTAAAACAAACTTCTGTAGGCCATAAGAGCAGCTACTACTTACTTGCCCTCTTAGTTTCTCTTGTAAGTGACAAGGTGTCCCGTACCTGTGCCAGGTATGTATGGTTTGGGATAACTAGCACAGTTTACAGTACTATTAAAAGAATACAACTTTAAAGTTTGAGTGGCTTTTTTCACCTTTTATTTTTTAATAATGGACAGGATGCACATGTAGAGAGCAACCTCACAAGCTCCTCTGAATCTAAGACTCACAGCATCCTCACATGACTTATGCTGCATATCAGATTTTTCACAGAAATATTTGAATATGGACTTCTCAGCGCAGACATTTATTCCAAAATAATGAACAGGTGGCAATTAATAGTTTCTGAGCTTTTTGTTTTGGCTACTGTTGCCCCAGGCTCTACAATTCACACATGCTTATCCACTTCTGTGCTTCCATGTCTAACATAACTAGGACATGGTCCAACAAATATCAAGTTTAGAGCAACACATTGAAAGTTCTCCCAATATTTTGAACAGTTGCTTAATGTGGAAGTGCCATGTCTGTCTGCAACCTGATCTACAGTCACCTTGACAGAAACCTTTATCTCCGTTTTCTTTATTTTCTTTAATTCAGAGACCTATAAATAACCTAGAACTAGCCATGGCAAACCCATCACCCTCAGAAAGGGATGGCTAAGACAGAAACTGAAAGATACAAGAGCCTTGCTACCAAGGAGTTAGTGGGCAGTACTTACATCCTATAAGTGCGATACATAATTCTGTCCATGGAGAAGCAGTGAAAAAAGGCACAAGACCATTTAGAAAGATTTCAAGACAGACAAGACAAAAAAATTTCAGACATTCAGATTTATATTATTTGGCCATTTTTCACAACATGCGAAGATGATGATACAAGAACTAAAATGACATTGTGTGACATATTAGCACATACACTATGCAGGCTAGAGGCCATAATATAACATTACATACTTGAGTTTGGAGGACATGTCCTCAGCTTGTCCCTTGCGCATCATGCTGGCATTGGCACTGATGTTCTGAGTGCGCTGAGGTTTCTCCTCTGCCTGTCTCACTGGAACAGATGAGGGTCTCTTGGCTGACCGCTTTATTCTTTCCTCCAGCATGCTCATGTCTTTCTCTGAAAGCTGCAACACACAATGCTATCACTTATCCTGAGTTGTATGGGTTTTAGAAATTTCAGTCACCTACAGGATTCACAGCATACTTATCAGTGCAGACTGAAGTTCTCTAATAAAAAGGTGGGAACTGTCAATGCTACGTCCTAGCAACAAACTCACCAGAACACTCTGGACTGTCAGGTGCGACTTCAAGAGATAATTAATTCATGTTGACAAACTGTAATACAGAATATACCTATTTCTAGGCCATATAACTTTCAAGAAACAGTTAATCTTGAATTCAAACTATGGTACTACCCCATGTTCGTAATGTTGCATGTGTTGCTGAAAAAACCTCAAAGAAAGCCCCACCCACCCTCCTATAGTCTCTATTAGCAGACCAGGCAGTGCTTGAACACTTGGGACCCTGCCACAGAAGCCAGAGTTCTTCTGATAATTGTCCTGTTCAATGTACTCATAATTCAATATGAACACCATTCTAAGACAACTTAATGATCCAAACTCAGGCAGTGAAAAGATTCATATTTACCTGCTTATCTATCAGACCAAAGACTACCAATAACTCCATTTGAACAAAAGTAGGCATTACAATTTCATGAGAAGTACTTTCCAGCATTCCTATGATTTAGAAACCTTCCTTTCTAAATAGAAATAAGAGAACCCATAGATGGACCATACTGAAGCTAAGAAAGTCATGGTTAGAAAGAGCTGAATTGTTCAGGTGTTACAGTTTTTCCTTTACCTTGAAAATTCAAAAGCAAACGGACTAAGCAGATTGCACTCTGAACAACAGTTAAATGGAATGGAAATCTATGATATTAATGAAAATGCAATATTAACTCTCATGGGAACAGTTACCAGAGAAGAGTTACATTAAATTTCAATTTTTCAAGAAGTTGGAAATAAAAAAAAAAAAAAAAAAAAAGGTGGGGCAGCAACAAAGCTGCAAAGGCATTAAAATATCTATCACATTCCCATCAGTTTTATGCTGCTAGAAACATTGCCAAGACCAAATCCAGAGAACAGAACTGTAAAAAAAAGATCTAAGTGCTCTTGATTCAGATTGGAATTCAGTGTACTTAATGTGATATGCACAGTAATTATAAACACAATGAACTAGCTTTCCATTGCTGGACACTGGAGACTGAGTTTTGCCACCTTTAACTTTTTTACTGCATTTTAGGTGATAATGGCTAACTATGATTTTCAGAAACCAAAAGAGCAGCAATACAAAGCAGCATAGTACTGACACGTTAAAAATGAAATGCAGTAAGATGAAGCAAGTAAGCAAAACTTACCAGAATTCAACTACAAAGCAATTGGTAAGTTTGGGATAAAAAAAAAAAGCTGGGAACTTATTGGAGCCCAAATAACTAGCCTTTTCTGGCCAAATAAGTTATCCAACTATTCTGAATCAGATGTGTTACTTGTATAGTTGACTATAACACAAGTTTCTCTTTATAAACAATTTAATTCCCATGAAGGTCAGTTGTCGGAACCCAAAATGTCCCTCAGACATTTTTAGAGGTTCCAGGCCTTGGTCAGAAGCATTTTAGACCCTGGCAAGCAGCTGAAAACAGCTGTGATTTTGAGTTTGAACCATGGAATGAATTACCAACTTTGAGGGTGGAACAAGCAGTCACAGAATGTTAGATGGTATAGTAAAAGTAGTCACAAATTAGAGGGTAAAATTTTTTAGTGTTGTACAGGGGGGTTTTAGTACCTGTACAGGGGGGTTTTCACTTTGTACAGGGGGGTCAGGAGTTCTAAGATGGAGGAAAGTGGTCCTTATCTTATTCTTCCTCCTTCTTCTTCCTTACCTCCATGTTCTTGGTGATGTTGGCACTCACAGATTGGTTTAGAGTAGAAAAGCACATTGTAACGTAGATAGTAGGTATTGGGGAAAATCTATAAACATATAGTACGTAATATATCATATAAAAGATAGTAGCAGCTTTGGGCAGGGAGAGAGACGACGAAGACACCGGACAGTGAGGGTGTCAGGAGAGTGTGTGCCTCTGCCTGGGCCGCAGACCAAAGCAGCCGCAGCGGGCGAGGACAATCTTTTAGATAGCTAGCAATAAACTACCTTGAGACCGAACAACAAGAGGCTGTGGAGTTTTTCTTTGGAAGCACGGGTTGGAGGAGAGACTTTACCACCACACGAGAGCCCTGAATCAATCCCGGGGTTCTCACAGTCAGTATTTTTCTCTCTTTTTTTTTTTTTTTTTTTTCCCCGTTTCCTTTTCCATTTATGCACATCCAGGTTATATACACTTCTCTTTCTGGAAACAGCCTGAGAGTTAGGGCTGGGAGTATGTTGAAGAGAAGGCTCTAGGGAGACCTCATTGCAGTCTTCCAGTACCTAAAAGGGGCCTACAAGGAAGCTGGAGAGGGACTTCTAACAAGAGAACACAGTGATAGAAAAGTAGTAATTACCTTAAGATTAAAGAAGCTAAATTCAGATTGGATTAGAAACTCTTGACTATGAGAGTGGCTGAGGCAATGAAACAGAATAACCAGTCCCTTGAAGTGTTCAAGTGCTTCTGCCCATGGCAGGGGGTTTGAACCTAAATGGTTTTTAAGGCCCCTTCCCAAACCATTTCATGATTTCATATATGCTACAATCTGGGATTAACCAAATAGCCATCAGAGGAACTATGATGTAGTAAGTTATTTTCAAAACTACAAAATACTCTTGATGCCAACAGCAAGATGTACCATGACCAATCGCAAGCAAAACACTGCTAATTTCCTACAAAAGTGTAAGGACTTGAAGAAAAACCAAACCACCAAAACCCAAACAAACAATCCCACAAACCAAATCAAGCACAGCACTATAACCAAAAATCCCCATAAACTTATTTGCAGTGATACTGACATTTCCAATCAGCTTGAACACTTGGTCGCCATGGACATTGTAGACAGTCACGATGGTGTTCAGTGCAGCGTTGCGCACAGTATTGTCCCGGTCACCAATGTGGGTTGCCATTTCTTTTAAGGCTTTCCCTGGAGTTGGCTGGCAAACATTCATGCCATATGATTCAACCAGACATCCAAGCTCTTCCAAGCATTCTAAAAGAAGAAGATAACATGTGCACATTAAACTTTAAAGCTGCTGGGAAGAAAGCCCTCCAATTCCTGTGCTGCTTGCACAGCTTGAACATTCACTGTAGCGAACTGCCAACCACAAAGCTGATGGTAGATATACTCCAGGAGATTTATGGGATTGATAGTAAGCTACAGCAGACTACTTCGCAGATAAAAGCTGTCAGTCACTCTTCTACACTTCAAGTGTTTCCCATAACCATGTATAAGCAATGTTACAATTAACATCACATTCAGGTTAACAGTTGTGAGCTTGCAATACTATATTATGTAGAGAATTTAACTTTCTGCTTATACCAGGATAAGTGATCAGGAAGTTGTTTGAACTACAAATGTCACAAATTTATTACAGAGATTACTTGTGGTGAGACAAATGTACAGTGCAGAGACATTTCTTGATCAGATTAACTGATTCTCTTGGTGAGTAGGGAAATAGTACTGTCGCTGTTCTCCCCAGCACTGTTTCACTAAGAAAACAAGCCTACTTAAGGGACTCATAATACTCATACTCACAGCAACTTAAGACATTACATGTCTTTGGAAGGTACAAAGACACCAAAAAAAAAAAAAAAAAAAAAAAAAAAAAAAAAAAAGCAATATGATACTACTTGAATATCTCAATATCTCATCCTTTAAACATTTACAAACATCTGCACAAAATGCCACGTGGTGCATGTAAATCTCACATCCCACCTAACATTCTTATGCTGGGTTTTTCAAGATGCAAACCAAAGCAATTTCAAGTACTTTGAACACATGCAGTTCAACAGGCCATTTCCTACCTGCACGTTGTTTAGAGTTTTTTGATTTTGTCCCCTCCATGATAAAAGGGAACATCTTGCTGGCTGGATAGATGAGACACATTCTGTTCAGAATGGCACGTACGTCCTTACGGATGACATCTTTTGGTTCTCCTACCTAATGGAAAATTAATGTAAAAAAAATGAAAAAGAGGGGAAGAAATACAGAATATTTTATACAGTCTCATGATACTTTTTGACTAATCTAAATAGTCTGGGAAAAGCCAGAATCATTCCCAAGGCAAAATCCCTTTTTTCTCCATGGCTTTTAAGGGAAATATGCAATATAGAATCATAAAGGTGACAAAAGACAACCTTAACATCATCAAGTCAAACTGCTAAAGCAATGGTGCCAAGTCTACCACTAAACCATGTCCCCAGGTGCCACATCTACAAGTCTTCTAAATACCCTAACCTCTTCCCTGGGCAGCCTGTTTCAGTGACTGACAACCCATTCAGGAAATAAATTTTTCCAAATACCCAATGTAAGCCTTTCCTAGAACAATTTGAGCCTTTTGCTCTCATTCTATTCACTTGTTACTTGACAAGACAACACCAACACCCCGCTCACTACAGGTAGTTATGAAAAGCACTTAGCTTCCTTTCAGGTAGCTATGAAGAGCACTAAGATCTCCCCTGAGCTTCCTTTTCTCCAGGTTAAATAAACACAGCCTGTTGAATTTCACACAAGCCATCAACTGGATTTAACTCCACTCACAATATATTTAGAATGAACATATTGCAGTGTTTGATGGCATTCTTCCATAAACCTAATGAAAAATAATTTTGATTTCTGTAAAAAAAATTGTACCTTTAGGATAAGATATGGGATAAAAGAGGATGCTTCATTTTCGGTGAGGTGATATTCTTCTTGACTCAGCAAATTGAAAAGCAATTTAAGGTATTCAAGTGCTTTCATCAAAACACTTGTGTTGGTATCAAAGAACCTCAGGGTAAGCCATTTTAAGATCAAATCCAGGCAGCTGATGACTCCATCTTTTTCACTCTCCAAGTGCTTGAAGGCAGTTTAAAAAAAAGTTATGTAAATTGAAAGACACTGTTCAGCAAGAAATAAGCTAAGCTATGTCTGGTAAAATAATAAAATAATCTACATTTATTGGTAGATTCTTAGAACAATACATACTCACTTTTAACTTATATGGCTTTCTGAAATTCTAAGAGAAGTCTCTAGTGAGGAAATTTTCCCTTCTCCTGAGAAACAGTCTTAATACCAATTTCATCATACCACTGAAAATTACTTCTATGTATGTTTAGGTTTCAACCACACAGAACAATGACCCCTGGCTCCTCAGAGAATTTCTGTTTGATTTTAATTCAAGCAGTATCTTTCACAGCAGAGAGTAATTCTATCAGCCTGATATTCTACCACAGATCCAAACTCACCTCAACCATAACAGTCAGTGCTTTGTTGTGGTGCTGGAAGTCTGCATGAAACATCTCATCCTGTAGCCACTTGGCCACACAAGTAGACATCTGAGTTTTCAGCTGTTCAATATATTCATCACGGGGAGTAGTGAAATTCCACTTTAACACCTGTAAAAGGCAGCATTTAGAACGCACAGCAAGCAATACCTTTACTTCCTCACATATGCTGCAGGTTGAACGTCTTTTATTTCTGCTTTAGAACCTGTTTTCAAAGCCTTCTTATTGCCAATAAGTAATGAAAAATCAGTGGTGTTTGCTCACTTTTTTTTTTAAATGACAAATTTTCTTCATATGGACTGATTAGCCTTATGCTATTATCTTAATAATTATCACTTAAAGTAATTGTTTTTAAGCTCTAGACAGGCCTACTTACTAGCAAGTTACAAATAACATGCATATTTTCAGTAATAGAATTTTCCCTACAGCTAAGTGGGGCTGCTCAAAATAAGTATATTAAAGTATTTGCAATGTATCCTAGAACTCTGACACTATACCTGAAAACAACTGACTAAGCTTAATGATACTTGACAACTTGAAAAATGTAAAAAGGTCTTAGGTTTTTATGGCAGTGTATAAATACACAAAATCTGAAAATCAGAAAAGAAACGCCACAGTAAGCCTGCTATTGAGATATGAAATTCAATTTGAGAATCAGATTCCAAGAGATAGACAGTGGCTAACGCATGCCACAGTAAGTTTAATTCTAAGTTAAAAACTAAAGAACGCATTTAAAGCCTCCACTTCAAAATTTGTGAACACATCCTGATTTTTCTCACCTTCAGAGCTTTCTCTTCTCTCATCCTCTGTTCCTTCCCATTTGGGACAATGATAAAAATAGGGCCTGATTTATCATCGTCTTCCTTCAGATTAGGCTTGCTTAGCACCTTCTTTCCCTGTACCTGAAAGAAGCAAGGCATTAGCAGGCAACACAAGCCATATATATGCCTCAATCCCAGTAACTGCAAGCATTAGATAGATACTTGCCACCCTCATGTTGCCTATGTGTACAAGAGCCAGAGCGAAGCTGAAAGAAAAATGTTGATTAGAAGTTTAAAAGTGTGAGCCCAGCTGCTGTGGAAGCAATACCCATGATAGTGTGCACAGTAGTACCCTGTGAATTATGATGCATCACTCTCAACCAGTGTGCTAGTCATCCACACACATCCCTAAAATCCAACGTGGTACCTGTTTGATAGACTGGTTCTTTGTCAGACTTGAACCACCCTTGCTGAGGTTTGTATTAGCTTTGGACAGGCGGGCATTACCCTTGGACATATTGCTATTAACATCTGACAGCTGAAAATAACAACAGAGAAGTCTTTGCTGAGAATGCGTTAAAAGGTTTGGAATGGAAACTCTTTAAGAATAAACAGCTTTCTGACAACAAAGTCTTAATTCTACCAGCAGAGTTCTGGCAGAACACTGCATTGACTTCAGCAAACCTACAACATCCTTCAAGGTTTGTTCTGCTCATTCTTACCATGAATATAGACCTACATCAAATGTGCTTGTTACAGCACTACTTCAGACAATGGAGACAATGGGACTGTAGAACAATTTGGGTTATTTTTAGTTATATACATAGGACTTTATTACTAACAGAAAAAACATACTGTAACACAAAACAACAGAAAAACCTAACCAAAAATTGACTGTAATCAGTTGAGATTATGTTTTTAAGCATACTCCTTCCCTTGCTGCACTTTGACTTGAGAACTTCTTACCCTTCACACTGTAAGACAGAGATTAATTTCTTTTGATACATAGGTTCAATAACATTCAAGTGTAATATTAGACCTGGAATAGTAAGAATGAATTCTCAACAGCAGAAAAATCAAAGTGGCCAGGAAAATTTAGAACAGACTGAGTTTCTCATAAGACTGATTTTTGACAATATGGACTTCAGGAATTAAATAGGTCATGACAAAAGCTGTGATCAGGTAAGTGATATGGGAATGCCTGTCATTTCAGAGTTCAGACAAACACGAAGATTTTTAATAAAAGTTGTCTGCAGCAAGGACTACATTCTTCTACCTTACAACACATTAATAAACCACAGCTACTAACTTCATGAAACTCATTTTAGACAAAAGGCAATCAACATACCTTAGCTTTAGAGGAGAGTCCTCCTGCTTTGGCTTTTTTGAGATCAGGCTTGGATTCTATGGTATTAGACCCCAAATCATCAGCAAATGCTGGAGAAACAATAGACCATTTAAAGTTATCTAGAAGCCTATTTTAGGTTATCAGTTTTCTCTTCTTAGGACATACGAAAAACCATTTGTGGATACAATATGCTTAATCACACATACGTCTGAGGCTTTTAGACCCATTGAAGAAGTCCCTTAAATTCCATGTTAGCATGCAAAATTTTCCAAATTAAGATTATGGTATGTCAGCCAATTTGTCATTTTTCAAAACAATTAAGAAATGCAGACATATGTAGTGTGCAGGCTAATCTCTAGAGCTGTAGTTGCACCTGGCTTGAATAAGCTAGCCCCAGCAGTTTGATTCTTCACATCAATAGTCCCCTAATCCCACCACAGAAGCATTCTGGCAGTCCCACAGTGAACTATACTGAGTAAATAGTCCAGACAAAAAATAATGTGAAAACATTTTAAAAAAATATTATCTTAAAATTAGATTAGTATAAGAAAAAACCTTCCCCTTTAGCCCAGCTTGGCTTGAGCTTCAATACCAAGTACATATTTTCAAGTTTTCAAGTAGCAGCTGACAGATGGTTGTGTGGAAAGGAAACATCCTCCCACACTGGAAACTGATTCAAATGCAAGACCAACCAGAACCCTAACTATACTGAATACCTATTCTTTAGCTAAGTATGTTTATTCCTCTGGCATGTCAAAAAGCTTAAAAATCCACCATTTTCTCAGTAATTTCCCCAAATGTCAGAGGTTACCTGATGCAGGTTGGAATTTGGCTGGAGCTGCTCCTCCTACCACTCTAGAAGATGCTTTAGCAGGTGGAGCTGGTTTGGCTGGCATGTTAGCTTTGGCTTTCTCCAGCATGGCCAGTACCTGGTCTTTGGAAGTTGGCTAGAAAACAAAAAGTGAAAAAAAAAAAAAAAAAAAAGTGATAAATTTAGTAATGTCTATCACTAATCTTTCCAATATGTGCTACAGACAACAAAAACAAAATTAGTTTGAAACATCCATGCTCCCTTAAAAGCATCTCGGAGGATGGTCATCTTAAAACACCATTGTTCTCAGATACTTTTGTTTTGAGTTAAAATATCTTTCTTTAAAGTTTCTTCTGCAAGATCTATGGGAACTATACAAATTCACTCTGGGTGAGTGGTCTTTGGATGTCAGTGGAGTGCCTACCCACCACTCAAGGGTCCATAAGCCAAACCAAACTGCTAGAAACCATGTTAAAGCATGAGCAGACATGCATAGAGTGAGACAGGAACTGGTATGGAAGCTATCTGCAAGGAGATTCTTTCAGAAGAAAAGCAGAGTGAATAAACATCAAGCTCTTGAAGTAATAAGCCTGTAATGGCAGTAATAATTTCTGAAGCAGAGAAACCTCTAGCTCACAGCTCCTGATACTATTTTCAGTGCCCCTGAAAATACTCAATGCAGACAAGCTTACATGACTCAAGACAGCATGTCATGAGACTGTGAATAGGCTTAATATTCACTCATTCAAGATCACATGATCTAATCACAGTAACAGAAGTACCTTCAGCTTGCCAGTGGCTTTTGCCATCTTCTCAAAGCCCAGATGCATCATGAAGAACGGCAGGGCATCCTGTGCCTTTTTGCGCACATCCCCATTTCGATCCTCAAGGCAGGAGTACAGGTGAGGCACACACAACAGTAGGTCAGAAGGAACAGAACGGAGGGCAGGCAGCTTATCAGCCAACCAGCCAAGAAGCTGAAAAAGTTTTAAAGAAGTGTTCACAGAGCTGTGCAAAGTTTGTATGTGCCAAGGCATGAGAGTCCGAACAGCAGTCCTTCACACACCATTACATTCTACAATGTAAGTAGGAAAAACCCACCCATTTTTCAAATATTCTTCAACAACATCAATTTTCATGTCAGCAATTACAAAAATTAAAAGTTAAGTACAGCATGTTAACACACAACTATCTTAAAACTTTAAGCCTGGTCTCTTTGCAGGCTGTTTCTTCCTTTTGAAAGGAATAGAATTTCAGCCACTCTTTTTAATGTCTCCAGTTCTGTTCCACAGTGAATGTAAGGGAACATAAACTAGCTCTTTAAACGCTAATCAAAACAGACAAAAGTTCCATTTTAGAAGTACTGAAGTCTAAATGACAGCTACCATGCAAGAATAAAGTTTGTTATTAGCCTTTTAAGGTTTAACAATTTTATGTCAGAACAAATACACAGCAACTTGTTTTCCCATATAATGGTAGCATTGTGTAATTTCAGTCTGCAGAGATAAAGAGTCCATAAACATAAGGTTATTTCGATTTGACGTACATAAGAAGTTTACTTGACAGAAGCCTACCTCTTGTCTTAGGAAAGGATTTTCTTTTTTGAGCTCTTCTGACAGGTCTTCCCCTTCCAACCACTCTTTCATGCCAGTTTGCTCGGCCCAGGCATTCACAGTTGCCAGTGCAGCAGCACGAACGTTATTCTGCAGCAAGAACAAGATTTAAAAAGAATGAATCTTAAAGAGAGGTCAGAAGATTATGACAGAAGAAGCAATAGTCATCCTTCCTATGAAAGCAAAAAGCTTCCACATCATGGGCTTTGAAATCTCTTTTTTTATTTGCAGCTTAAGAAGCCTAAGATTCAGAAGAATTTAGTTTCAGTGATGATATCAGCTACAACAATCTCCAAATCAGACATTATACTTATCTACCATATTTTTTTAAAAAGTAAGTTTAATAAAGAGGGTGAAAGGGTATCTCTAAAATTACTTTTACATGCTACCATTCATTGACGATAATTCTGGGTATCTAACTCTCAAAGAAGTTAAAAATTAATGTTAATGACTTATATAGTGCTTAAAATAGACTGCACATTCATAAATCAAGGCAAGTGGATTATGGACCCTCATATTAGGGCACTCCCATTTAGGATACATATGAGCAAAATCAGGAATAAGGGAACCCTCTAATTCCTACCAATTTCCATCTTGTTTTTTCCAAGCAAAATTTAGAACAGCACCCTTTTTTGAAGCAGCTATATGAAGTTATGAGAAGCCAGATGGAATATTTAACAACCGTGGTTCTTTAAAATGTTATCAGTCTAGACATGACTCAATACATGTGACCCTCTCCTGTAGGCTGAATTTCTGAGGAAAGCTAGTAACGTAGCAGACTCATTTAGTTAAGTATGAACCATATTAAATGCAGAAGTAACATCCAGGCACATATGTATGTCAACAAGGAGACAGCATCCTTGCTTTACCAACTCCTCCCATCTTCTACCCCATTGAGGAAAAGAAACAAATCATGTGCTGCAGATAAACACATCCTCATCAGCCTCTCTGACAAGGCCTTGGTTCCCATCAGCCAAATTTAATTTGTCTTCACTCATGCTAAAAGCTGATTATTTTCCTCAATTATTCAGTGGGTCCACTATAAACATAGTGAAGTAGGACCCAAAATGGACTATTCTCATCTTCAAAAACTTGGCAAATTTCATAAACTAGTTAAATCTTGCACTTAAAGTACTTAAAAAATCACCACTGTAAGAGTGTTCAAACGAGCATACAATCTTCTGTCAGCATTATTGTGCTTACAAGTTATGTCAGTATTATGCATTTTAATTAACAGCGTAAGTTAATCACAATTGGTCTTATCTTTAAACCACACACTTGCAACTCTCCTGCCAGTCTGGGGCTCTGAGCAACCTGGTCTAGTGGAAAGTGTCCATGCCTATGGCAGTGGGCTGGAACTAGATGGTCTGTAGGGCTCCCTGCAAACCTAGAAAGTTCTATGACCCTGTAAAAGGAGTTTGCTGTTACCTCAGGATAATTGGCAAGTTAAAAGAAGAATTTAACAGTCACATAAAGTCACTTAAAGGGAAAATAAATTTGAAGAGAGATTTTTATCTAGCCCTAGAACTAGTCCAAGTCTTTCCACTGGTCTGGACAGGTAGATCCAGCTTCTGCTCTTCTTCCTACTCACATTCCAAGTAGAGACAGCTGAAGTATGCCATCTTTGATAATTGCCCATGACTTCTGACAGAAGATATTGGCATCTGCCCAAGCCTCTTTACCCATTGCTTCAGATAATTCTTTCCCATGGTCCTAAGCTTGATTTTGACACAGCATCCTGGCAAACTCAACACTGATGCTATTTACACAATCTTCAGAGTCAGTTCTGAATGTCCTATGTCGACCTACAGTTTAAAGGTCCTTTACACAGTGACAAACAAAACAACAATGCATACTGGCATCCACAGTGATTCACTAAAAAGTCTACAAGAAACTTAACCAAGCAAACCTGTTCAGTGCCTAAAATATTGTACTTCCAGCAGCAGAAATATGCATATTGTCACCACATTCATTTAAAAGCCAGATTGTTTTACTGGGTTTAGTTACAAGGAGAAAATACATCTAAATATACATTCAGGCATATATTTATACTTGAATATTAAGCTGTCATTCAGGCAAGAACTTTTTTGAAAATTGGTAAGCTTCCAAGAAGTTTTAACTACCAACCACCTTTCAGGTATGGCTTAGATACACAAATAGGAAAGACATCTTGATGCTTGTCCTACCTTACTATCTCCTAGAACTGTAATGACAGGAATTCCCAAATTTTTCACATACTGTTTGATATTGGGGCCCATTGCTGTTGCTAGCTGCTGAAGAATGCTCAGAGTTTGTTGTACCTGCACAAAAGAAAAAAAAAGGTTTTAAATAAAGCAGTGTAACAAGCATTTGTGCAAAAACTCAGTTATACAGGGAAAAGAGATGCTGCTATATATTAAGCATTTACTTTAGAATGCCTGCTCAAGAAAACCTATTCAAGCCTTCAAATTCATCACACTGAAAACCAAAATATATTTCCATATACTGAGCAAATTAAATTTCAAGTACAAATATTTTCAAACAAGGAACAATTCACTTTTGTGACAAATGAAGCTATTAGTCAAATTCTTTTAAGATTTCCTTATATTACATTCAGAGCAAAGGTAGTTTTTATTTATTTCGAGGCATTTTTAAATGAAAAAAAGGAAAATATTTATTAAAATAGGGAAATCTATGATTTTGAAACACATCGTGAACTATTTCCCAACTGTTGATTTAATGTCATTGAAAGAGACCACACAGTAACAAGCAAGGTTCAGGAATTATCACTACCTTAAGTTTTAAGCTGGAAAAAACTGAAACAGGATTTTGAAAAACATACCAAGATTTTATTGGAGTCATTGAGACGACCCTTCAGAGCAGCTGGAAGTTCTCCTATGTTTGGCTGTATGAACTTTGCTTCATTTATTATGCTTGTCACTTCATCTAGACCTTCCTTTCTGATCTTCCAATTTTTATCCCCAATCTTAGACACTAGTTCTGCTGTGATCTTATCACTGCAAGAGAAAAAACAGGTTAAGTGTCCATTTACTTAGTAGTATCTCTATTATTATTTGAGAGCTTTAACACCATAGATTTCTGCTTAGAAAGCAGTTATAAAGCGAAGTTTTGAATTGCATTGGTAGTGTGTGTTCAGGTGATAGTGTAAAAACCTACCCAATATCTGCTCTTGGCAAGAGATCCACAACATCATTCCCAACCTCCTCCTGTTCTTCTTCTTCACCATCATCCCCACCTCCCACGCTGTGCCTGGAAATGCCACGAGTTGGAGCTGGTGCTGTCTGTCCTTGCATCTGCAAGCAACACAAAATCAGAAACAACAATTTTACAATTTTTCATTTGCCACTAAAAATAAAACCACTTGTATGATACGAATACACTGGATCAGGACAGCAGAATTCTAAACAATTACACTATTCAAACAAACCCAGGAACCTTTCAAGTTCATAATGAAAAAAAAGGACTATTGAGATAGCTACACATAATGAATTGGCAGCCTTTGTGCACTGTCTTAAGTCTGGTTCAATTACAAGCCCAAGGGTTAGACCACAATATTACTACGAACTCCAGCTACTGAAGTTTCAAAGTAGCTTTAATGATACTTGGTAGCAAGAGAGCTCCACTTCATACCTTTTCAAATTCTGCATCTATCTGGGAGAGAAGGGCTGGCTTCTCATCTTCAAAAAACATTCGCAGAGAAGGTCCCACATAAAGATACATTACTCCCAGCAATGTAATGGCAGAAGTCCTCACAGCCTGCCAGAAAGAGGAAAAAGCACTCAGTCTTCAAATCCAGGACTGATAATAATTCAGGATGAAGATTCTAAATTTACTCACTGGGTTAGTTGCAGCAAGAGCTGTCTTCACATTACTGATGAAAGCTTTGACATTCAATCTGTGGAAAAAACATATCTCCCATAAATAAAACAAAACACAGGAAACAGCACCAACAAACAAAATCATCACAGTATGTTAAATAAAAAAGATACCCCTAGACAGATTTACACAACTAACTTAGATAATGAAGACATGTATACTCATAAAATTATGTCATCACAGGTACAGTGTAGATAGTAGCTGCTTAAATAATTACTGAAAGATCAGTTTGGAGAATAGCCTACTGTGAAAATCAATCAGTAAACAATTTATACATAAGCTTACTATTATCACAGCTGGAAGTTTCTTAAACTACATAATCTATGTGACAATTAGGACTGAAATATTGAGGAAAGAATCTAGTACCTGAAACATGACTACACAATAAAGGTGAGGGTATATTACTTTTCTGGTGGGTCTTTTTTTTTTTTTTTTTTTTTTTTTTTTTTTGTTAGGTACTCCCATGATCTTCCAGAAAAAGGCACAATTTTCAAATGGGTATTTACAAGAGAAATAAAGGAAGGTGGGAATCTTATATATTACCTGTGCAGCCTCTTCTGCACACTTCTGCAGTAACACATCTATATACATTCCATGCTGCAAACATGTATTTTTGGTGGAATTTGCTAAGGAAGAATTTATTTCTCAGACTCAATCATGTCACTATCCATTTAAAAGCCACAAAACATTTTAAGACAGGTATAGTAACCGCCCAAGTAGTCAAATTAAGTTATATTTGAAGTTTTCCCTGCTTAGAGATCCTTTTCCTCAGGACTAAACTCTATTATATATGCTTAACCACATCCAGTTAAAAGACTAGTGATTAAAAATTAAGGCATGCTATCCCTGGTTCTGATGGAGAAATAATTTCTCACTCTAACATTGCCAGACATAATAACAGCTATTTTGTTGGCTAAAACTTCATCCACCTGACATGAACCTCAAAATGTCTCCCAAGGAGATTAACAGGCATGCTGGTTATGTTCTCTCCAGCAGGTTATCAGATTCAGTTGTGTTTTTTTCTTTTCAACTATAAAATGTGTAGTGGTCCACCTGGGTGCAGGTGTATCCAAGTAGGAGTATAATAGACATGCAGTACCAGAGCTCTGTGCCCAAGACACGCCTATAAGTACCGTAAGACAGATGATCTTCAGATGAGATTGAGTGGCAAGTAAAGTAGCTAGTAATGTCATCACATCCTATCATACTAGTAATGCCAGATACTTTCAGTTATATACTTAAGGGCTAGAAGAACATGGCTAGCATCAGAATTTAAGGAACTAGAGCTCAGATGAACAGAGCCTTAGCTCCAGATTAGAAACATTTTCATTCAAGTTTCTCTTAGTAATTTATTTAAAAGACTTACCCAGAAAAGCCAAACTCTTTAATTGCATTTGAAAGCCAGTTCAAAGTTTCTGACTGGTTTTTAGGATTCTTCTGAGAGAAAGCCATAGCCACAACCTGGAATAGAAGAGAGTTAAGTGTAAACTTTCACTGGCAAACCAGGTGACAAAGCAATAAGTAAGTGAAGATACCCGCAAAAAACACAGGACAAGTGGACAGAAAAGGCTAGGGTAACAGAAAATGAAAAAGCAACTGTGTCACTGTAGCAGGATACAACTGGAACTGAAGTGAACCAGAAATCCCTGAAGTACTTAGAGGCAGCCAGAGGCACCTTTATTATGGATTCTCAGGGGATTCCCTCTGCTCTGCTCTTGTGAGACCCCACCAGCAGTGCTGCAGCCAGTTCTGGGGCATTCAGCACTGGAAGGACATGGATCTGTCAGAATGAGTACAGAGCAAGCCCACCATGATTCAAAGGATGAGGGAAGGCAGACAGAACTAGAATTTTTCAGCCTGGATAAGGCTCCAGGGTGATCATCTTGTAGCCCTTTAGTACTTGAAGAAGGCCTCCAAGAAAACTTTTGAAAAGGGCATACAGCAGTTGGACAAAGAGGAATGGGTCTGAACTGAAAGAGGAGTTGTAGCTGCCCCGTCCCTGGGGTAGGGTGGATGGGGCTCTGAGCAACCTGGTCCAGGTAAAAGGTATTCCTGCCTATGATGTGGGGAAGGACCTAGATCATCTTTAAGGTCCCTTCCAACTCAAACCATCCTATGATTCTATTTTCAACTTTAGAGGAATATATATTTAACTTCTGTCTCGGGAAGCATCTTGAGAGCAAACAAATCACTTTCATGCAACAGAGAAAAATCAAGATTTGGGATTTACTCCTCAGACTGAAAGGACACACTACACATTATTCCTGATTTTATTTGCTGAAAGAGTACCTTTGCTGCTCACTCACCTGCTCAGCAGTCCATGGCAACTGACACGCTTCTGCTATTGCTGTCATGGCCTCTTTTGCATTAGTTCCACATTTCACATCACCAACCTTGTCTACAAGACCATCCAGCACAACCTGTGCTGAAGTTTTGGAGAAGTTTCCTTTCTGTGCAATTAATGCAACTATATGCAGTTTCATCTGCATCACCTGCAGTGTCCAAAACAGCAGGAAAGTTACTGATGTCTTTGTGTATTTTAAATTAATTTTTCTCATTCTATATATCTATAGGTACATAAAAGAATTATATGGATTTGTGGGTAAATACTAATGTACGCACAAAATTTGTATTTGTATATATATACACATACACATTTGAATATGTAGAAGTATTTATGCACAGATATTTTGTACACACACACAAAGGTGTTTTGTGTACTATACACAAAAACTGTGTACACACACAAATACAAACTATTATATATACACACACACAATCAATAATACTGGGCTGCCATTATCTACTTTTATAACTTAATATACACACACACACGCTTACATATATGCACATGTATACATGATATACATCTCAAGACAATCTTTAGATACTTTAGATGACATCTAGAGTCTCAACTCTCAACAGGAATAAAATCCAATTTGATAGTTTATTTTCTCATTGATTACAGATAGAACTGTGGCCACAGCGTGACATATGCACTTGCAGCCTTTCAGCTGGAAACTGCTTTACATTAACAGAAATGGACTATTTAGTTACTAAAGGATAATGTATTACCTGAAAATTTGTTTCCTTCCAACCAGGTTTCTTGGCTAGCATTCTTACTAGGGCTTGGCAAGGCATTTCACTTCTTTCCATAAGCTCAACAGCCTAAAAGATAAACATCAAGTTAACCAGTGGGTCACAAATTATACAAAACAAACAGAAATTCTCAACTGTTCTCAAAGTTATTTTCTTAATACTGAATTAAAGCAGAGAAATTCTCAGCATAATAATTTACCTGAAGAGCCATTTTTACAAGGAGTCTGAGGTATTGAACCAACATCTAACCTACCGATTCGCATCACTACTCCTTTAATGTTCTATAACAAATGTCCTTAACAATCAATATTGGCCATTCCAACCCTAGGATAACACTTAAAAACAAAAACAAAATCCAGAACAGCCCACCTGCCCCTCAAAAAGCTGCTTTTGTTATTAAGATTAAGTATTTTATGAAGCTTTCATGTTGGAATGTTGACCACACAGCGGAGATTAAGCCTGAATATGATCTAAATTACTGGGGTTTAGCTATTGTTAGGCTTAATAATTTAATTGAAATGACAACATTTTAATAAAGCAGGCTTCTGCACCAGCATTTCAACACAGCCAGTAACCATTTTCCAACTGAAGTTAGTCACTTTTCCCACTAAAATAGTAAAAGCTCAGTCATTACTGTACTGGTGTCATGGTATGAACTACTTGTACATCTACAGTTGAAGCTTTTATTTGTTTGTGACTACATGAAGCACTTTCCACTAGCTCCACTAGCTGTGAAGACTGCTAGTACTGTATAAGCCTCTAAACAAAAAATTCAACTGGCAAATTGAGAGTTGATTATAAGCAATTGCTGCCCAACACACAAATAACAGAAACTTCTTTGCAATAGATCTGGCCTAGATGTTGCAAAAGCTTTTGTTTAAATCTAGCTATCTTTGAAACGAAGCTTTACAATTACTTGGAGTTTTAAAAATACCTCAATCAAAACACAAGTATTTTTGACAAAAGCACATCTACATTAAGGCAAAATACTTACTCCACCATTGCTATGGAGTTTAAACCATATAAGCCATTTGGCTTTTTCAAGTATTATTTAATCCATCTGAAGTGCTGACATACAACTACTACTAGTAAGTACTTCAGGAGACTTAACAGGCCTAAAGAACTAAAGAATTTATTATTTGTTTTCTCCTTCCCTACTGACTCTCTTATCAACTGTTCCAAACATACCTTCTGAAACTCCTCCATGCAGGCAAGCCTCTCTTTCCAGTTACCACTGTCCAACTGCTGGATACAAGATGCTGGAAGGACAGCAGCAGCTTTCTCTTCACATACTTCTATCTGCAGCCAGATCAAAACAAGGTTAACACTCCACTACATCACTTCAGAAGAGTTTATTTTAAGAGTTTTATTATCTTAAGGACAGGTAATATACTGGACTGACCCTTGTACTGTGGTGCATTTACAATATAGGCAAAGGGTTCTGTTGTAGGTTAAAAGATTTCAGTATGGATTGTGGTATAGGGGTCTTATGGGTTTAGAAAGCTGCTAAAATTGCACTGCAACAGAAAAGTAATCTCTGGAAAGTATGAGAAACTGTGCAGTAAAAAATAATCTTGAATACCAACATTCTGCTTAAAGAATCAAGCAGAGGTAACCTAAAATTCGCAAGGTAATTTTGGATCAAATCTGAATAAACACTGACAACAACAAATCAGAAGTTGATAAGGGTAGACAGGAGAAGACCTATCTTCTGTCTCCATTTTAGCAAAACAGAAAATGAAAGTTATTTAGTGATAAAAACTTCCCTTGTTTCACTGGTGTCCCCATCACCCTCAGGAACTGTATTCTCATTTTCTACTGCATAACTAACAATATAAGCTGGATATACAATAGAAATTATTCACTCTAAGGAACATTCCAAATGAAACTATGGTTTGGATTGACAGGCCAAAAAACTTGCAGATACATCTAGCAAAGCTCTAATAGGTTTTTTGTTACTGTTTGACCCACAGATACCAGAGTAAAGTAGGTAGATGGTCAGCTAACATGCAGAATTCAGTAATTTTTTTGGAATGTAACTTAATATGAACAGCAGAAAACATATTAGTTCATTTAATTATTACTTTATTTCACTTTAGATTTCAATGTAAACTCCACAACAATGAATTCTCAGGCTTTTAATACCAGACTCCTTCAGCAAATCATGTGTCCTAAATTACATATGAAGTATAACTGGTTTTTTCATCTCTTCCTACTTCAGGGACAATAACATACCCTGTTATAAGGGTATAAGCATGATTTATTTCTTACTGTCTTAAATGGCCCGGTGCCAACAACAGCCTGAAGAACAGGTGTATTTACCAAAGTCCCATTTCACCAGTTACAAATGTAAACATACTACTTTACCTTCTCCTAACAAAACCGAAAAACCTCCATGAAGAACTGTGTAGTGCCTGAAGAACTTGACTAACCAAAGCTGCAATCTTTGGTTACAGAGGGCTTGGTATTTCAGAGAATAGCAGAATACTCACAGAGAGCTCCGACTCAAAGATTTCTTTGGTCTCAGGACCCTTCTTGCCTTTAGGCCCAGCACCTCCTGTACCTGCAGCTGCAGCTGGTTTGCCTTTCTTGAGTGGGGCCCCAGCCTAGAAAGTAATTGGACAAGGTAGCCGAGATCAAATAGCTCTCTAGCTCAGATATCAAAAGAACTGCTGTTTTCCCTATAGTGCACTTCTATATTCTAATGTCAGAAAAATATGCATCTCTGATAGCATAACAACTGCAGGCAGAGATAAGCTAGAGTTTATTTAATTAATATACTGCTTTTAGACTACAGGTTTTACAAAACATAACAGGACAGTGGAAGAGGAAAAAGGAAAGAATTATGTATTTGTAAAAATTCAGGGAATAATGACTTAATCTGTATGTTTTCCTATGGACACCGGTTAGATACTAAACTTGTGGCTGATGTCTCTCTCTCAGGTTATCTGAGTACCAATATATTTCAAAAATGTTATCGATTCTTCTATTCACTTTCAGGTATCCCACCTGAAGAACTAAGTAGCATATTACAAAGACCATCTACTGCAGTCAATTTTTAAAATCCAAGGAATAACATTAAAGAAATACAGGCTAATAGTTCAAATTACTTCAGAATGTACGAAGGAACAAACTGAAAACTATGCTGAAACAATATCCAATACTTAATTAGTAGCCTTGCTGGTTACAAGAAATGTTGACTTCAGCCAAGTATTACTACATCACAGAGCACATCAATTGTATCACAGAGCACATCAATGTTACAACACTTGAAGCTCCTCTGAATGCCTCCAGTCTTTTATCACTATTTCAAAATCCAAATCTGGTATTAAGACATAAGTGGCAAGACAGTTTGTGTCATTAAAAACTGGGATTTCATTACATTCCCAGAAAGTCACAGATTTGTTTTGCTGTTAGGCTCACCTACTCCTGCAAAAGGACAGTGATAGTTCAGTGGAGGCAAATGTTCAACAGACCAGCCTTGATCTGCAGTAAGTAACTATTTGATGCAATCACAGACAACTGATTGTCAGACAACCTCTCACCTTCACTGCTGATGCTTTTTTCACTGGTCCTGGTTTGGTTGCTGCATCTTTTGTTTCTTTATCTCCTGCAGGCCCTGGAAGAGCAGTGGTCTTTCCAGTAATAGGCTTGCCTTCTTTTTTCTCAGCTGCTCCTCCTGCTTTTTTACCATAAACCAATTCTACCTTTTCAGCACACTCTTTAATCTGCCAAGCAGTGGGGAAAAAAAAAAAAAGGTGGGGGTAGAAAGAAGCCATTTAGCTACCCATATTGATGCACAGTGTCTCTTTACCAGCAGTGGCTCAAACTTGACTGCTGTGGAAAAAATGTGAAGAGTTTAAGTAGTTTACTTTCTAAGATTTTGTTATCTGGTGCTCCTGGTAAGGTAACCGGTCAGTGGCATCAACCATCCCTGTATTGTCAAAATAATTCTCCTAGCTCAAAATGAAGTACATTTATATACTAAGAAAACACTGACACCCTACTGATACTCATAGATGTTCTAAGACTAAGTCCGAGCACCTCAAATTATAAAATCTTCATTCAGTCAACATACCTGCCAGCTTATGCAAAAGTATAACAAATTCGTTGTTGGGAAGCAAGTCTTTAATACCAAATTCTATCTAGTAATAAAAAATTAGACCATATGGCTGTGACCTAAAAGCTTGTTTCAGACAGCAAAGTGTTACAAACAAAACTCCATATACCACCAACCAAATCCACAACTAAATCTCACAATCCACCTCACAGATAATACAGTCAGATACTTTATGTAAGAATGAAGAGATTTTCAGATTCCCTGCAATATCAGTAACATTTAAGTAAAAAATACATCTTCAAAAATCTGTGCTGAAATTAACTAGACTAAAGCATCATCTTTCACCTTCTCTAGCCTATGACACATTTTAAATGGATAAATGGAGCCTTTTTAACAACATTTATTACAATACTCACCCGATCAAGCTTTAGTTTGTCCACATCTGCTAGAAATGGATTCACAGCTTTCTCTCCAGCTACTTTCAAGGCAGTGCCTAATGCTTCAAATCCAGCATCTCTTACTTCAGGAGCAGAATCATTGATATGCTGCAGAGAAAGACAATTTATGTCATGTGACTTGTGGCTCGTATCTGAACACCTTCTATACAAATCCCCTCCTCTTATTTAGAATCTAAATCTACTACAGAGTAATCCTTGATATTCTACTACAGAAAGAAGAAGGCTGGTTTACACTTCAGTTTTCTTATGTACTGACCAAGTCTACTTTTTCTCAGATACAGCCATTTTGTCACCTTTGGTTTTTTTTCCACAAGAAGCGGTAAACATTCATGCTAAACACCATGAAAGTTCATAAAGAGTTTAAAGTTCTGTAATCTTGTTGTAATCTCAGTTTTTTAAACCAGAGATATTGCCTATACCAGGGAAAGGGCTGTTTGCAATAACAAAAGAAGAATATATCATTATCATTTACACTGAAAAATGCTCTAGTGTCACTGCCATGTATGAATCATTAACGATTGTTATTTTATTCATAGTTAACAATAGCATTCCAACAAAAACTTAGAGATGTGTGCAAGATGCAAGTGGCAGTGTCTGGGATAATAGCTGTAAATCACTGTCTTAATCTATTACAAATCTAGTGAGCCTACAGCTTCAAAAAAGCTAAGATAAAGGAAACCAAATTTTCCCCCTGACAGTCACCTTCAAGTTTGACATCAGCCAAAACCAACTCTGAGAGCTACACAGCACACAAGAACTCTTTGGTCTCTACACTACTTTCAGGTCTTTCTCCCCAAACAATCCAAGGTTTCACACCAACAGTACTCAAGTCAATGCTAGAGAAATATCAACTTCTTTACCTTAAGAAGTGCAGCACAGAAAGGTTTTAACAGGCTTTTTGGCAGAGTAGAAGGTGTGCAGTGTCGGAAGCTTCTTGCAATGAAAAGGGATGTTTGTTGCTTAATTGTTGGGTTTTTGTTGTCCATGACTGCCAAAATATCTTCACTTATGTTCTGCAATGTGGTCTACAGTGTTGAACAAAAAAGTCATTATTTCAGTAAAGAGAAAAGCAAATCAAAGTTCAAGACCAATTCTCAGACAATGGGGAAATTTTCACTCTTACTTACTGTAAGAAAGATTGCATCAATGGCCTCCTGCAGTGCCTGCACTACCTGGGGCTTCTTCTCTTTGAATTTCTCCAGGATTGTTGGAACAACCTATAGAAAAGGGAAAAAAAATGTCAAATCCCTCTCCATTAATATAACTGGGAAGCCTGATAGCCTACCCCATGGTACTTTGCAGAGAAGCCAGTAATTCAAACATCTCTGCTATACTCCTCCAGAAGTACACAGCAGTCTGAACTAGTTTATTCTTGCTGTTCTCCAATACTAAACTCATTCCCGTCATTCTACTAGCAAATATAGATTTTTAAACAATTTCATAACAAAAGGCAGACCTACAAGTTCACATAATTACAGATTATGTAATTATGCTGGAATACAGAGTAATAGAATGGAAATTAACAATTACACAACATAAAGGGCGCTATGTTGTTGTATTTGAAGAATCCAAGGCAGCATTTAACCTGTCTCGTCTTTCCCAGCTTTCTGACAGCACTAAGCATGGCTCATTAAAAAGGTCTCATCTGATCCACAGCTGACAAGATCATGATTCTGAAGCAACTGGAATCCTCTCTGCAGCAATATTTCTCAGATCTACCACCTTGAAAAATCACATCTGACAGTAAACTACACTATACTGAAATTTGACAGAAATTTCTAGCTAGGTGCTCAGTCACTGCTAAAAAAACAAATAAATAAAATATTCAAGGGGGAAAAAAGTAAAAATAACTACAGTGCAGATATGCCAGTAATATGAATAGGCCCATTTTACTATGGACTCTGTAAGAGTAAGGACTTCTGCCACTGAGCCAGAAACATGCAGATCTTAACTGTGGAAAGCAGTCTACTCTCAAGATTTTCATAAACAACAGTTCATCGTTTGGAAGCAGCCAGATGCCTTACAGAAAGTTATATGCTCTTGCATAACAAAATATAAATTTACTTTCTACTCAGAAGCTGACTATGGGATCCCAACCCCTTGTGATGTACTGTGACCTAGGCTCAGGGGGTATCTTGGGCTGCAACCTCCAAATTACCAGTTCACAGACTTCAACATTCAAAAAACCTCCAGATAATACAGATGGCACCACAAAGACCATCATGCATGCTACTGCAGGTGCTAGATACCCCTACATACCAGAGAAAAAAGTCATAAAGAAGAGATATTTAAAATCATTAACCCTCTGTTTTAGAAAATACTGACAGGCAAAATGAGCATTTTTACCATGGCAGTTAGAACTCACAGCCCATGCGAAATGCAAAGAAGAAAAATTAGTCCAGGGGTACAAATGCAGTCAGAGGTGATGCTGGCACGCATGTACCCAATTATAGTGAGGAGTATGATTATATACATGATTTCACTACTCTTGCTGGAACACAGATTGCAGACTAGCATTGCAGTCTTATATTTAAGTAACAGAGTTTATAATCATACAATTCTAGCAACAATTCTGTTTTATAACACTTCAATGCTCAGTCTCAGGAGAAGTCTACATCTTCCTCACAAGTAAATAAATCCAGCAAACAAATCAAGTGAACTGCTAAAATGAGTACTGAGATTATGCAATTCAGAGCTGCCATTACACTATTGAAAAAGTCATCTTCTCAACGCCATTTGCTTGATAACCACAGAGCTACACCCTTGTTTTAGAAGCTTTGCTTTTTCAACACTAACTCTGTAGCTATAATGGTTAAACTTCAGAAATCAACTATAAAACAGATGCCAGAATGATTTTTATAAGTACAGCTTTCAGAAAGAAAGACAGCTTTCAGAATGAAAGTGACTGTCCAAATGGGTGTTCAGAGTTCAAGAGACCTGACAGTTTCTGAAGCAGTGAGATTCAGCAACTTCCCAGTTCAGAGACAATACTACCAGCAGCCAGGCACATCAGTTCTCTAACCCCATTACGCTTGCACATCACACGAAAAATTCGACTGAGCAGCTTAAAGAACACAGTGACACAGGCTTGAGAAACAAGTGACAACTGCAACTTATTAAAAGCTCTCTTTGCTTCCACATACTGGTTAAGTTTCCCTGTATTCCCTGATATTAGCTACTGGTAAGAGAAGAGCACCATAGGAGAGAGCAAACAGCACTTAACTGGAGCACCAGAACATTTTAGTACCAAAAATCTCAGAAGTTTTTGCTATTTAGAGCAGACAAAAACCCCCACATAACCCAGGCAACAAGGAAACAGAACACCCACCACCTACCATCCCCCAACATTCAAAAAACCCAACCAACATAAAACATATGCCATGGAAGTGCTAAGTAGAACTCTGATTTAGAAGCTGTTTTTTTGACTGTGGCTTACAAATGCATTCCTGTAGGGGTATCTCTAGAACAAGGTAATGTAAATAAAGTCCATTTAATGGCAGAACAATTCAATATTCTTAGTATAGAAGACTTATATTGCAACAGAAAGTTTCCTGTTGCTGAATATGAATGAAGAAGGTCCTTTCAAACTTAAGCTACAAAGATCTAGGCAAGTATTTCAATGCTTACTCTTTTAAGGGGTTGATAAGCATTCATAACTGTACAAGGAATACCTTTGATAAATACCAAGGCTCAACAGGGAAAAGGGAAAGGGAAAAAATGGTGTGCAGCATGAATAAAATCAGGAAAAAATTACATACTCTTACTTACATGCCCTGCATACTGTCCAAATTTCTTTCGGAGGCCTGTAGCTAGTCCAGCGAGGCATTTGGCAGCCAAAGCAACTAACATAACATTTGTATCCTTTCCAACAACCTGAAGAGAAAATCAGTTTCAGAGAAATTGAAGTATTTCTTACAATAATCAGGGGACCACAGATTGGGTTATTTCCACAACTGTTCCAGCTAGTAATTTTCTACTCATGTGTATTACATCAACTGTAACTTTTAAACTATCATACAAATAAATTTAATTAAAAATATTAAATTATATGTGCATTCTGAGTTTTATTTACTACCTTTTTGAGAGCTTTCACCAAGTCTGCATAGTCTCCTGATTCCAGCTTGGGATTTTTCACTAGTAGTTCAACAGCCTCTAGAGCCTCTTTCCTTTCTTGCCACTTTTTTGCTTCCTGCAGAGCAAATAATTTACATTAATCTATAAATAGGAACAGTTCTAGAGAAGTATACTTGCCACAAACCTTAGATTAAAACCCTTTATTCCATCCTGAGAAAACCAAGGTCTCCCTACAGTTCAATACCAGTAACTGCAATGAAATACGAAATACAATCTTTTCCCATGACATACCTTAGCCCCTTAAAATTACAGCTTTCTTGCTGCTAAATCCAACTTTAAAACTTATTTATGATAGTCTGTATGTTATTAACACTAGTTTGTTATTATCCATGCAGCACTAAAGCACACATTGCAGAACTGCCCGTAAGTCTTAAGACTCATCAGCTATACAAAGAATCAACAGGTAGTATTCAAGTTTATGCTTACTATTTTCTCATAGAAGTCTTTGGGAAGCTTGGAGAGAATTTCTACAGCTTCAAGCAACTCATATGCATCTACTTGTGGTACCACCTCTTCCTCATCATCGTCTCCTGCAACCAGAAGAAAGAAATGTATCAGCAGAGTGACAGAAAATTTTGACTAGAGTTTCACCTATGGCTCATTGCTTAGAAAGTGCTATCAGCAGCTGTGAATTTGCTACTTCAAAAGACAGATACTCTTTCATATAAAGTTTCTGCCTCAGACACATTTTCTTCTTGCGTAGTGCACTCCACGTTTGGCACCAGCTTCAGTAAAAGCTCCCTTACAATTTAATGCATTCCTTCACCAACTATGTACAATATACTTGCCAATGGAGTTCAGAGATTAAATAGTTTACCTCCATCTGCATCTCCTCCAAGTGCCTGCTGCTGCTCAAATTTTGCTTTCAGCTCCTGTTGGGAACGCAGGAACCTGGTCTGCTTAGGAGCAGCTGATGACACTTTGATCCATTCTTCTTCCAGCTCTTTTAGCTGCCAAAAGGGAAAAGAATTATCGTATCAGAGACATTATGGACATACTCCAAGACAAGCAAGCCATTACAGTTTTCCTATTTTAAAGCCAAGACAGCACTACCTTTCACTACTATATTTTTTTTTGCCAGTAAAGGAGTGACTTCACATTCACTGTTCAGAAGTCTTTGACTAAGTATATCAACAGAAGAGAAAATTATTGCAAAGCATTTACATAAGAACAAGCAGTAGAACAGTCAGAATGGTGTGACCTCTCTGTAGACACTTTGAAATAAAAATGGCTGAGCATGAAGGAAGCTCTCCTTTACAGCCATGCTATTATTACACACTAAAACTAAGATGAAACAAACATGCTGAGCTACATTTGATGAAACAGTTTGGTTTTTTTTAACCATGCCCTTTTAAAGCAAGCTACTGCTTTCCACCTGAACATAATTAACTCAAGTGGGTAGGAGGAAAGGATGCACAATTTATAAAGTTTTAAAATTATGATATATTCAATCATAATGCAATGCCACCTCCTGAAGGGAAACAGTCACATCCCAAGCATCATCAGATTAAGTATGAAGGGATGCACAGAGGAAAAAACTTCAGGAAAAAACAAAACTGAGAACAAAAATTATTGATTTGAAGACTTTCAGTGCAAGTCTTTTATAAGAGCAACCATTCTGCTACGTTCTATTGCTCAATTGCCATCCTCAGTTCCAATATGAAGCTTCCTCCCACTTCATGTATGTTCAGAGCAACCAAACATTGTTATGATTTCCTTACAAACGACTAGGAGTGACTAACGTTTTGGGTAAAGTTAAATGGAGCTAAAAAAAATACATCCCAATTTTGGCTTTAAGAATGCCCAACATCATAGAATCAGAGCATCAAATGTCTGGATATAGAAACACTTCCTGCCTACCTGAACAGAATTTATGTTCTGCAATGGAGGTCTCAAAGCATCCCTTATCCAACGGTAGATTTCCACAGCAAGGAGCTTGGCTTCGTCTCGAACAGCCTTTTCTCGAGATTCAAAAAGTTTTGGCAATACTTTGATGATTGGCTTCAGTGAGATTATCTTTGAACCGAATTCACTGACAGTGAAACACACAGCATCAGTGCCCACAAACAGGGAGCGATCCACAAATAACTAATTTTATAAACAACAGTCTATGAAAGTCTTCCAGTGCACATTTACTGATTTTGTCATTTACTCAAACCATTATGCTAGATATTATTTTGAAATGCTATTGTAAATTTAAAGAATATATGCCCTATCAACCTCCACACCCAGCTTGGAATTACAAATTCGGGCCTTTCAAATTACTTCAAAGCACTTCATCCAATCCAGTGTTTAAATCATCTCCCTTGCCAGCGGGAAAAAAAAAAGACAAGAGAGAAGAAAGAAAGAAGTTGTCCTTCGACCAAAATTTATATGACCTACTTTTTTTTTTTTTTTAATCACAATAGAATCTCCTTTGTCTATCCTTGGAAACAAGCTGCAGTAAAAGCATTAGTCACTTTTTCACTTGTTGGACCAGATAATTATAATGAGCTTGGGTCATCTTCACAGAAAACATATGTGCTGAAATGTGCCACTGAAGGAACACATAAAACAAGTTTCCCCAGCCAACCACCCTTCCTTGACAGATGATTCTACATGCTATTGCACTTAATACACAAAACTGCCTATTTCAATCACTGATGAATGAGAATACAAGAACTTTCTTTTCAAACTCATAGTAAAGTTAACTGCTGTAGTTACTAAGGCATCATATATAAATCACCTCAAAAGCAATAATTTTTTTTATTCATAAACATTTCTTCTTAATTCTGAATTAACCTTTCTACCAATCACAATTTTTCTTATGTTTCCCTCCAATTCAAGTCTCACATAAAGAAGCTAGCAAAAAAGGCTGCTCAAGAACTAAAATCTACATGTCTTGCTTTTTAGAAATTCTAGTGCACATCATTTTATTTCCACACCAATTAAAAAAAAATACTAAGTATAAAAACCTTCAAAACAGGTTTTGGAAATAACACGATTTAAATGTGAACAAATGAGTTGCCCAATAATTCAATTCTCCTATCATGACTTAAAAAGAGAGCGTATTTGGAGAAATACCTATGCAAACTTACTTGTTTCCAATACATATAATCTAACTTATATAACAAGAAAGAATAGAACCTTAGCACAAGATAGAAAATACCAGAAATTAAACTAGTTATGCATTCAAGCTACCCACCTAGGTACAACACAGACAAATTTTATTATCAATGCAGCAAGCCTACCAAAGCATAAAAAAATTTAAGTAGCAACACAGCTCAGAAGTAGAAGATGGAGTTTAAGCCAACAGGGCTGCATGCAAGTACTTGATCCTAACATCACAAAGATAACAAAATACTGCATGTAAGAAAAAAAACATATGTGGCACATTTTACAGAAGTAGTTAGTTGAAAGATACTGAGGAAGGTTATGCAGGTTTCTAATTACACTGCACTGTTAAAAGGACATGTAACTAGATAAGCAATTTAAAATAGCTAAAATTTATTCTTAAATATAGGACAGTAGTTTCGCTTAGCAGAAGCATAGGTAACATGTTAAGCCCAAAGCTTTATTTTGATATTACTGAAGCCTGAAACAAGGATCATCTCTACGTACACCTTGGCAAGTTCTCTAAAAGATATGTAACATAAGGCACTCTCCACATACATTATACAGTTTTCATATGAGCTACTTCACTCAGAAAGAAGTGTTCTGTCCATTAAGTTCAAAATTTTCTGTTTCCTTTAAAAAAACCCTAATGGTCAGTATATTATATATGCACCAAGTATAATAATTTCATAAAGCCCCAGTATTTTTCACTCAATGGCAGCAAACAAACTTGATGTGGAACCAAAAAATAATCTAATACTGAAGCCTACTACATCATCTTAAATTGGATTTGATTTTTAGGGAGTACTAGCAGCTCTCCTTTTCAATAAAGGAATTATTATATGGACAATAGAAGCTTACATGTTCAATGAGCTTGGCTGTTTTTTTTTCCTTTCTTCTAAAACCACACACTGTGTACTCAATTAAACATGCTCACATCAGTGAAGAAAACAGTGGTTTAAAAAAAACCAAAACAAAAGCCTAAACTATGTTTTAGTTTTCACATCAATGACTTTATTAGAGATATTCAGAAGAGAAGCTTCACAGTCTGGAACAAGACATACTAATCTTGCCCTTCTCTCAGAGGCTGGGAAAATGCAAGTTTGGTAAACAGTTACCATGAATGAAAGAGAATCAGATGAGGCTAGTACAACATAGACAGCCCTCACATCTAACAAATCCCATGATGCTGACAACTGTTGCTGTAAAAAACACCAATTCAGGAAAGATGCATTCTACTCAACAATAACAAGGGCCTGCTGAAGACAGCAACAAAATTAAAATCCACATATTGCAGGGGTGAGGAAAAAGCAAAAAAGAAAGCCACAAAAAATACCATGAACTAAAAGCTTACCTTAGTGCTTTCCTCAGTGTCTCTATACATGCTACTATGATTTTGGGGTTTTTGTTGTCCAGACCCTTTAATAATTCTTCTTGTATTGCCTCTCCTTTCTCAATTTCTATATACATTAGACATATATCTTCACCCAGCTCTTTTGCTCTGGCCTTTGGCTGATTGAACACTTTATTTACAACTCCTGATGCTACTTCTCCTGTTGTCCTGAAAGACGAGAGAGTATTACTTTTAGAACATTTATGTGAATTAAGTGTTCTACACCATTATCCACAGAAAAAAACCACACACAGCACCAAATCCAAATTAAGGCCCAACAAGTCTTCATATAAAAGGGACTACATCCTAAGATAAAAAAGAAGGCTATTTTTTTCAAGGTTAAGGGATGGCTTCGTCATCTAGTTTTATAAAAGAACACAGATCACAGTTATATTGTGATTCTAATACCAGACTATATCAGTGAATAGTAGACATTCTCAAGACTGTATTAACACTCTCTAGTCGAGGTTCACAAATAAATGCCATGTCCTGGTATTATGTTGCAATATTAAGTGTATCTGTACATAACCCCAACACAGTATTTCACATAAACTTCCAAGCTTCATATAAACTAAATAATTGACACCATTTTTAAATCAAGGAGTGTGCAAAGTTGTTAGATTTTTCAAACAAAGCTTTGGGCTTGTTTATTTGTTTTTAAGTAAGACCTTTATTCATTTCATCAGGTCACAAAGTCAGTGGACCAAAGCACTAACCTGGCCTGTTATGTGCTCTTATTTCACCCTCAGGAGTATGGTCTACTTCATGGCCTAGACAACACAGACGTACTAAAACATGTCCAGTGAAGAAATTGGCAGGCATGAAGATTAATATTGGTTATGCTGGATGCAATGTCACATCAACATAAGTATATTTTATTTCATGTATGAATTACAGAAATATCCTGCTGAAAAAAGGCTCCCTCCTGTACAGATAAGACTGTTTCCATCAAACAAGAACAGAAATTCCAGTTCACAGCACTTACACCACATTAGTGATTCACTTTTTTCTCCATTTCAGAAATTTTTACTAGTGCCTTCAATAGTTTTTAGAACACTGCAAGTAAGTTATGATAAGCTAATATGCACATGGAGGCCATCCAGAAGGAAAGCCTGCCATTTGGCAAATTCTTTAGATTAGAAAGCAAGTTCTGTTCTTAACAGTAGAGATCAGAATTGCTAGTGGCCACTGCACTATTTACATGCAGCTGCAGCTTTTTTCAGGGAGGCACATTAAACTGCCCTTACAGCCTAAGAGCACCAAGAAAAGGCTACTTACTTCCCAGCTACATGAGCATTTTCAACATAAGCAAGTGCTGCTTCCAGTCCTTTCAGCTGAGCCACTGCATTGGAGTCGGTCACAAATTTCTTTATCAATCCAAGATACTTGGACCATTCAGGATTCTTTTCATCATCTATCTTCTGGAAGAGCTTAAGGGCTTCTTCATAACCATTTAATCGGGCTTTCCATAGCTGGAACGAGAAATTGGACATTTAAATGTTGTGCTATTACAACCTTAACTCACCAATCTCAGAAAGCTCTTCAATCATATTTGAAAGGATGCTCAGAAAGCTGGCACCTGCAGATTTCTCTTCAATAGCTATATGATTAACATGCAACAGGACAAAATACTTGTTTGTCCCCCACCAAGGACAGAGAGATGCCAGTCTTCCCCCCTGCTCTTCATAAGTCCTAGCAACCACCAATGAGGAGGTGGGAGCCCAGCAATAGTTTCAGCTACAGATGAGTAATTTCTCCATGTGAATGAGTGTACTTATGTGTCAGCACACAAGCTTACGCCATATAACGCTACTAAAATCTGCTTAATAGAGATTATTCAGCCTCTAGGTTGGATAGAGCTGATGCAGTTGCAGATATGTTAATACTCACACCGTGCAGCTGTCAAGATTACCCAATTACAGAGTATTTAGATACAGAAACACTACAAAATCTTCATGAGCAGAGATACACAGCAAGCCAAATAGATGATTGCCTACCTTATGTTCACATTTCTGATCAATGGGCAATTTCATCCACTCACTGTCGTCCCCCATTGTAAATCAGGCTCTCTCGATAACTACAGTAATTTCTGTGCAGATAAGGACAAGTTAGAAAACAGAAAAATACATATAGGGTGTATACATACTTATACCTAAAAACCCAAAAACATAAAACCAAAGAACAAAACAAAACCACAACAAAACACATACAAAACCCCCCAAAAACCAAACACCAAAAAACCCACAAAAAACCCCCGAAGCAACTCCACAGTTCTATAGCAAATCTCATTGCTAATATGCAATCCAAGGTTGTAATTATATTTAAATGCACACTTTGAAGACCAGACCACTATTTTTTTAGCTCTAGAAAATTACCAGAAGATTAGAGAGCAGTGCAATTTGTAGTATTTCTCACACTACAAGTCTCAATAGGTGAAACTTTTAGTAAGCTGAAAAGTTATGTGGAATATAACCTCACCTAAGATTGAGGAAGAATGTACTACAGCTAAGGCACTAAACCAAAATGAGCTGCCATCAACACTAAAAACTGGCACTTACTGACACGTACTTTTAGCAACAGGTGCCATGAATCAGTGTCAAAAAATAATCAGATGCAAGTGTAAGGACAGTCATTTTAACAACTTTACAAACAGCACAACTGAAATGAAGAGTTACCAAGAAGAACAAAACCCATTTTTGCCCTAATTTTAATGTAGCCAGTGTCAGCAACTGTCAACAAGAGATCAATTATCTTGCTACCTATAGGGTTTAAATCCTTAGTCATTCAAGTTTTAGTGGTTTCCCCCTTCTCCCTTTCCTTTAGATTAAAATAAGAACACTGACTATAAGGGTATGACAGACGAGATCTTAGGCTCAATGCCCATCTCAGACTTATTGTACAACTAATCTGACTGCTCAGAAAATAATTAGAGACCCAGACTGATGCAGAGAGGTCAGCAATATTAAAATAGCAGCAGCAGTAGAAAAGGCTTCCAGTGTTATTTATAAGCACAAAATCAAACCAGAGAGGGAGTAACACATTCAACACACCAGTCTGAATTCACAGACCAAGCCAAAAACTCTATAACCCAGACATACACAAAAATTGATCACTACAGGCATGTAAGTACACAACACTAGCAGAATGCTCTGAAGAGAAATTCAGCTTTTGGCCTACTGAGTATTTCACCTAATTCACTCATAGGTTGTCTGTGGAAAATTAATCCCTTGAATTAGTGGTACATTTTCAGTCACATAAATTAATATAAGTAAGTACTTCAAAACCTTCTGTCAGCCACACAACACTAACATATAAAGCTAACCTGATAGCAGAATTAGGCTAGCTGCAGCATACAGTAAAAACAATCTTTTTAATTCCTTCCTGGATAAATTAGAAGATACTTAAGTAACAACCCAACCTCCTCATAATTAAAAAAGAAAAACCATAAGAAACACAAAGAACTCCAAAACCCCTACCTGTCACTGATACACACAGCCCCACAGCAAACTACAGTAAGCTAGCCTTAAATATTTACAATATTAAAATGGATTTTAAATTTAAATTACAACATTTTAAATGGATGTTAATACTGTTCTCACTATAATTGCATAAACTATTAATTTGTCCAATGGCAGTAAAACAAGAGTCAATGTTAGAACACAAGCTGACTACATACATGAACAAGTGTATGCAAGCGTTATTATAGTTTCCCCTTCTCATCAAAAAACAACAATATGGATATTTTTTCTTGACATCAGCACAGTGGTACCAAGCGTGCTTCTAAATAAGCACTTTTTTTCGGGGAGGACCAAAGAACTGTTAACTGCTGAGAATTAAAGGATCTACTTATTTTGTAAGAAGCAAATTACGCAGAAGTGAGGCTACCTAAAACCCATTCTACTGAACTGTTAATTCTGTTTCACTATCTTTTTTAATGTTCAACTTACTAAAAACCAAAATAAATCCTCTGGTCACAGTATTCCTACATGTCAGGAACTGACAAAAAAAGGTACTCCAAATTAAAATTTACAATGAGAACTCAAAGGCCATACCAATCCCAAACGATCGTACAAGGTCAAAAGGGCAAGCGAGTTACTGCATCCAAACCCCATCAATCTTTTGCAATGGATCTGCTTTCATCTGCTTTAACTCCTGCTAAAATTTTCTCTACCCCAGCCTCTCATTTGTTCTCTTATCCCTCCTTCAGCCTACTGAGAGAGTTCATAATAAAATAGAAATCAACAAACTCCTGATTCAAACTCAATGTATTTTACCTATTAAAAAAGCCAACCAAAAAAACACACCAAACCCACAAAAAAACAGAAACCAAATGCACACACACTGAAACAACACAAAAAGCACCACCCTGCACCCAAAAGCACGATGCTCATAGCAAATACTGAAGTGGGGGGTAAAACTTATCTAACCCTATGAAGGCAAGGACTTCTCTCCAAAAGCAAAAAACGAGACTGAATTCACATGAAAAGCTTTCCAAACAGCCCACCTAGCAATGGATGCAGGCATGCCCTACAGCGAACAGTTTCCAGCAGTAAAATTCCCTATCCCTCATATTAGTTGTGCAGCCAAGTGCCATCAGCAAAGACAGCTCTGACAGTATAAACTGAGCTGGCATTAGGAATATCTTCATTTGAATGCACCAATATAGAAATAATGGCATACTTCCTCAGTGTGGATGCAGGCAAGATAAATAGATGCAGTGGTCTCTTCCCAAAGTCACATACTCCCATGCAAAGAACACGCAGAATGAGCATTATAGAAAATTAGGTAGCCCTCATTCTTAATCAGAAACTTGGAACCAATTCAAGCTATTGTCTATTTATACTTTTTTGCTGAAGTACACATAAGGAACCAATACAAGTATAATAGTTATTCTGAACAAAAAAATACAAAAGGGGGAAGAAAGCATGAATACACATACCAGCAACAGAAACACCAGAATAAAATTTTGGCACCTGTACTAGACATCTACAAAGTTTTTTTTTAGAAAACTGACAAAAGCATGAACTTCCTACTTTAACAATAAAAAGAAGCATTTATTTCTCTCCAGAGATCTGTTCTGCCAAGGAAAGAAGTCTTACTGTAGCCCTCAATCAAGTACTACAAACCTCAATTCAGTTCAAACCCTGAAGTCAATAGCAACTCTATTAAAAATGCTCGTCCATTATCAACCAGACTGATACTGATTTACAATTATTTTTATCCTTACACATATACAACAGTTCACTGCCACAAAGTACAACCTCTTGCTTGTACAATAGTGATACACTACAGCATCTGGAATTTCCCTTCCCACATCGCAATGTACTTAACTTGGGGAGAATCAAATATAATAAGAGACATAGAGAAAGGAATTGAATGTCCATTAAACAGTATTTCACCTTTTTTTTTCAGTCTGGTCAACTGAGTTCCCCCACTATTTTTAGTCATTAACATCTACAATCAATATTTCAATTACAAAATGGGTTAAGTTACCTTCTGCACTGAATCTGCCATCTAAAAATAGTGACAAAATTATACTCCCTCCAGTAATTTACAAAATCCCTTTAGAACAGAATTTCTCAGAAAGTATTCCATGGTCACAGAGGGAAAGCTCCTTCTTCAGCATCCAGTCTTTCTAGCTTCATCACTGCTCATGTCTGTCCTAATGCCAAGATTTTGTACTGTCTACATCTTGCATTTACCAGAATAAAAGACGATTGTTTCTCTTTTCAATTAAGTCACTGGGTTCTGTATGATCATAGAATATCCCACATCTGACAAAAAGGTTTTTCTTAAAAGCTTCTTTGCAAAGACATGTAAACCTCAAGTCATTACTTCTCAAAACCAAATAGCAAGTGGCCTCATTACATGGAAACAGCTAAATTCCGTTATTACTAGTGAATTTGCAGCAATGAAGTGTTTGACCTACATAGATTTTTTTTCTGCTGCTTCAACTTGGAACAAACAGAATTAAGCCTTTCAGGAACAACATGCATTTTGGTAAAATCCAGAAAACAAGACTTCTGAAGCAACTGAACTGCCAGAGTAAGTTTTGTGAGATACATTTGTCATAAAAGTGGTCAATGCAACATTTCCAAAAGCAAGTCACCCAAGAAATCAGAAGTGGAGATGAATAACAAATCTTTCCTGACAGTTCTTGGCAGGGCAGCTTTATATTATGGAACAGTGAGAAAATGAAGACCATCAATGAAAGACCAGGATCTTTTGAAGGGAGATCATGTAAAGGAGAGCAAGAGTGGAAAGCATTTACAAGGCAGCACAAATGCAAGAATTTCAAACATAAAAGCGAGAATTCCCAAATGAATATATGTAAGTTTGGGAAACAAATGTATCAACACATTAAAAGATTGTGAGAAAGTATGAAAACATCAAAGTTTGGATTCACCATGCAGTACTCTGAACAGCTCTTACTCAACTTCTAAATAAATGCTTTTCCTGCTACAATTTGGAGAGCTGAATTGCATTAACATCATAGCTTATAGTATGGGGCACTGCTAAGGAAAAGACTGTACATCATTAACATTCTAAAATGTGATTTCTTTTGAAGCATACATTTATCACCTATCACTATATTTTATTGTGAAGTGTCAGCTTCTAGACCATTTTCTACAGAAGATATACAATGGCAAACTAGGAAGCCATTTTATGCTAAACAAAAGCAGCTGTTTATTGATACTGATTGCCTACTTCTCCCTACTCACTTTCACCTATTGAATATTACTATTGCACAAGAATATCATAAAATATTTTCATATTTTGAAAGGTTCTCAAAAGCATTACTCACTAATAAGTTCAGAGAAATCAAGTCAGGTCTTTATAAAAGGAAAAATCCATTTGAAATGTTCCTATACAGTAGGGCACAAATTTGGAGTGTATATAGTCAGATGTCACATTTCAGATAAAACTATACTTCTTGGCAGATAGAGCTCTGTTAGTGCAGCCACAGTTTTCCTAGCAGAAAGAATTATTTGCTTGTTTATTTGTTTAATGGCAGTTTTGGGTCACATTTGCTCTTTGGCTCTGAAATTACAAAGTTTCACTTTCTTAGAAGGTTAGCCCAACACGTTTTTGTTTGGTTTTTTTTTTTGTTTTTTTTTTTGTTTTTTTTTTTTTTTTGCCAGCCAAACCTTCCCATTAGCCACAAATAAAGTAGCTCTGAGAAAATGTTAAGACTCAATCATAACACAGTAGGCAATAAAAATTTCATAGAATTTTCAAGGCTGGCATTTTCAATTGGTAGATGAAGTTGCAAGATACACAAACTCTTGATGAAAAAATAGAAAGACCTCAGAATAACAAAAAGAAAAAATGCATGCTAAAGGGAAGCTACTGTTTCAGCAGCAATGAAATGGCATTCAAGAACAAACAGCATTAAATTCTCTCTTGGGTGCTTTAACTTGTATGTCCTAAGTCACCTCAGCGAAATTTTAACAGCACAAATGACAAGCTAGTGGTAAAATATATAAATACTTAATTTCTCTGGAAAAATACATTCTAATACATGGCCTCTGAAAGCAACCAGGGGCGTCCTTTTCCATTCATCTGAAAGTGAGAGACAATGCAAAATAAACTGACCTTCTGTTACAGCTAAAACCAAAAGCAATTTGTAACTGCATGTGTAAGCCTGGAGTGAAGCCAGTCTTAGGGAGCCGAGAAGGGCAAAAGGGAAAAGGGCAACACACGGGCAAGTGCACAGGCATGCACTGACATAATTCTAGGGATGGACAGTCAGGAGTGAAAGATGTCAGCGGGACTGTGCTTGTAAGCTGCAAAGCCCCACACCCCTCAAGAGGTTTTACAAAGCTCAGGCATGAAAAGGCCCATGTGATTTTCTTTAAAAGGACGGCCTGAACTGCTGATGAAGGAGAGCTCCCGCGGAGACATCACTAGCTCCCTCCTTCTCTAAGAGAAGCTCCCTCCAGCACGGCTTCCCGCTGCAACTAGCGGCGCCCCCGCCATCCCCAGCACCTTCCAGAAGAACACCCCCTCCCACTTCTGCCCACAGCCCCACAGGCGTCCCCGCAGCCCGGCGACGTTTCCCACTCCGCGGGTGTTTGGCCGCAGGCCGCGGCCGGGCAGAGCGAGCAGGCCGCCCGCCCGCCCGGCATTGTCTGTGCCCGCCGCCCCCGCCCCACGGCCGGGCCGTGCCGGGCCAGCCCTGCCAGCGCCGCCGCGCACCGCCCGCGGCCCGGCCGGGCCTGGCCGGACACTCACCCTGACAGCTCCGGGCCGGCTCCCGGCAGCAGCGGGCGGGAACCGCGGGCGGGCCGGGACGAGCCCCTCCCCGCCGCGGGCGGGGCTCGGGGCGCCGCGGCCGCACCTGGGCGGGAGCCGGCCCGCGCCGGGGCCAGACAAAGGCGGGCAGGGCAGGGCAGGGGCGGCCCCGCCGCACTGACCCCGCAGCAGCCCCGGGCACATCGCGCTCCCTTCCCGCCGCGGGGCCGGGCGAGCGGCAGCAGGCGCTGCCCGGCCCTGCCGGCGGCCGCGGTGCCGCTCTCGGCAAAGAAGGGGCCGCCGGGCCGGCGACCAGTGACCAGCTTGGCCCGCCAGGCCTGCTGTCCTCATGAGTCATACCCAGAACGCCCTTACCCGTCAGAACAATTACTGCTCTAACAGAGGGAGCTGCGGTCATACCCGAGCATGCTGCAGACATTATCACAGGCCACCAATCATCCAGCAATCCCTAATTGAAGCAGGGAGCGGTTCTGAAAGCTGACAGTAGGAACAAGGCCAGCCGTGGGGAAGGAGAAACAGTGCCTTCCAAAGGAGATACGAATGAAGAGCCTGGCACCATACCATCCCCGCATTTCATGCTGCTGCGAGATGTGTAATGACAGCACTCTGGTGGAGCTGATGCATCAGCAATCTCTCCAGCCCATCGTCTGACATTTTGAGATGCCTTTTCTATAGTGATAATAGCGACTGAAGAAGCCGATATGGTGGGAACTGGGTATCACTTGCTTCCTCCTCAGAAGAGCATCAAGCCATGTGATGAAAGGCTGTATTTCTCCAGCCATCTTTTTAGCTAGCTGAAGAAAGAAGCCTCTTCCAGGCACCACCAGCACCAGCCCTGCTTCCCACTGAATAATTGTCCAAGTTGCATTTCCTACCACCTCACTCTACTTCTGCTTTTCAACATCTGACATTTGCAGCAATCGAGCTGTCATAGACAACCCCAGACAATGTACAAGTGTTCAGGTCAAGAGACTCTTTATTCAAACAAGCCAGAGCAACACTGCCCAGTGCAAGGCAATATTTAGTTTAAACAAAAGGGTACAAGGCTTTTTAATGTCACTTCAGAACTCCACCCATATAACAGGAACCACTGAGAACAGTCTACAACAAAGCATCAGCAAAGCAACACCATCTTAGTCTTGGACTATGTTGTCTCGAACCAACCACTCTGCTACAGATGCAAATGGCTTTAATGCCATCCTATTCTGGCAGACTTGACAAACCATTTACATTAAATAGTTTACAAACAGATTAGCAATACAAGTTTATATATTTCTTTTATAAACCATATAAGGACAGCTGCTGGTAGTGTGGGACGAGGAGAGGTAGGAACGGGGAAAAAGGGAACCAGATGAACACTGACCATGATTTTGAAAACCTTAATTAAAGGTTTGCAAGCATTTACATCTCTCAAATGTCCTTCCAGTCACGCATCCTACACAACAAAATCCTCCAAATTAGATAATTAAGATAGCTATCCTCACTCCACAAAACATTCATAGCAGTTTCTAATTGGATGTACTGTTCAAGATGTGTTTAAGTGATAAGAAGGGGCAAACAGAAGTGCTGCAGATGACAACCGGGTAGCAAAAAAAAAGAAAAGGTTGACTGAAGGAGCATACAACATGCTAAGTTGCTTTGTAAATTTATCACCAAACACACAGAGTGAAGCAATTTATAACATTACACTGAATTTCAGGTTTTCTGCATTGACTATTAAATACATTTAATACATTCCCATTTTAGCAGACTCTGATATGAGAGCACAGACCCACTGTGGCAGACCAAGTTTTCAGAGGCAGAGGCACAGCTTACATAACTGGCCCGTACAAGGGGAAGGACAAGAGCCAGCATGAAAGTTAAGTCTGACAAAACACAAGTCCTATGTGTACAAGAACCAGGAATCATGTTCCATCACCATGCATTCCCTTTTTCATATTACAATACCAAGGGAGAAACTGTCCATCAAAACAGATATAAAGCAGTCTGAATAACTCCCATACTTCTAAAATTCAAATTTCTTTTTGTCAAGTCATCACATAATTTTTCCTAGAACAGGTCACCTAGTTAATGTATCCAACTTTGTGCTTTTAAGAATTACTTTCACTACATCTGCAACCATTTGTTCAGAAATAGTCCGTTGTACCTGAAGGCCATTTGCCAGTGATTCTACTTTCATATATCACTCTCTCAATGTTGCTTATAAGGCTTAGCCCTATCACAATTCTTGAAGCAGAAAAAAAAAACAAACAGTGAATTTGTAATTTCAGTATGGGGGGAAGCTATCAAAACAGCAAAGTTCAAAGAAAGGCCAAGCCTGAGGCAAGAAGACCAAACCAAATTCTAAATTTTGTACAATCAACTGATCTCATGTTGGACACTACAGGGTCAACAGTATACAGGCAATCTGCACTCAATCCTTCCATCTCCTGAGGTGAACCTTTCTCAAAGTTTTAGCAACAGACTTTTGTGAGTAGACCATTAGAATACTCCAATATTCGAGACTCCATGCATTCTGAACTAAGCAGCTTTACAGTTTCAAACTAATAGATTCACTGAAAGCCTATAGCAACTCTTTCTTTGATACACATGTAACACATTAGGAAGGGCTCCCATTGCTGCTAGCTCAACATCCCAGCAACTACTCATGCCCTTCTCATATGCACAAGGCAACTTGAACTGCACTGCAGTTCAGCAGAAATAGCAAAAAATCAAACACTAAAATCAGCAAAAAGTAAAAACCGTAGAATAATGATATATTATACACAACAAACACAAATCAGTTAGAAAACTGTAGCACATATTATTTTAAAAAATTTTTATTCTTAGAACAGAACCCCGGTTTGTTTAGGGCACAAAGAAGTACCATTCCTCAGCTTCTTGTCTTCCGACCCAAAAAGTGCGGGTCTGCCACTGACAGAGCACCAGATTCAGGAACAAAACCCTCTGCACACCAATCTGAACTACTGTCTTCGGAAGAATCATAACACTGTCTGTTTCAGAAACAAAACCAAATGAAATGCGGGAAAGGTGTGTGTGCAGAAACATGGGACACACACTTCTAGCCAGCATATACTAGAGAGAATTCAACAGGAGCATCTCCTGGTGAGGGGCTCTGGCAATCTTAACACTCGCACGCAACAGAGCTGCAGAAATAAGAGACGAGCTCGCGCCTTTGCTGTTAGGACTACAATCACCCCAGAGAAGGTATTCCTTAGGACATTCTAGAGGGGGAACCGATCCTGCACGCAGCCTCAGGGGACAGACGGCGCCCGGTCCGCATTTGCCTTGAGGGGCGCCCAGTTCCCCCGACGGCTCCCGGGCCCACCGTCCTAGCCGCCTCCCACGGAAGGCGCCACCAGCAGCCCCAGGCCCCAACGGACGGAGGCGCCGAGCCCGCGGCTCCCACCGGCCCCATGGCCCCGCGGCTGCCGGGCGGCCTGAGCGAGCCGCACCTCCGCAGCGCGGTGCAGGCCGCGGCCTCTCGCCGCTACCAGCCGCGACCCTCACGCCGCCGGGCTCTGCGGGCGGATGCCGCCGCAGCCCGCGGGCCATCCCCGTGGGGAGATGTCGCACCACTGGGACTGCGCCTGCACTCGCTCCCCCGGAGAGACCGGGAGGCTCGGGCCTGGCGGCGGAGGAAGGCCTAGCCGCCCTCCCACGGGCGCGGACAGCGAACGGGATAGGGCCCGAGCTCACCGGGGAAGGGACGAGGACAGCGGGGTCTCACCTGGGCCCGGGGGGTCGGGCCGGTGACGGTCCGGCAGCTGCTCGGCGCGGTTTGAAATCGCCAGCACCGCCCGCACCTCCCAGTGTCCGCCGCGCCCATTGGCCGCAGCCGGCCCCGCCTGCGCTGGCGCCCGCGCCTCTGATTGGCCCGTTTGAATCCGGCAGCCGCAGCGCGTGCTCTCCGCGCGCTCCCGAGACGGCGGCGGGGCCGCGGGGTGGAGCGCGCAGCGGCGGGGCGGGAGCGCGCAGCGGCGGGGCGGGAGCGCGCAGCGCCGCCGGTGGCGGGCGGCCTCCAGCGGCACCGGCCCGGGCGCACCCCGCTCCGGAACTACGGAGACGTGCCCGGCCGCTCTCTCGGCCGCCGCCGTGCCCCCAGGGAGGGAGCAGTATGGGGCTGCCGGGCCCTCTGCGGCCGGAGCAGCACCTGGCGAGAGGCGCAGGTCCTAAGGCAGCCGGGTCACGCTGCGGGACCCGCTGGCAATGGACTAAAGCATCTCGGAACTGATGGATTCGGCTTTGGGGAGCATCCTGTTACAGAGGAACGGACCTTCTCTTTCCTATGGTCAGTGAGTTTGCAAAGCAGCAACTCAAGAAACGGCTGAGAGGGGACCTCATCAATATCTGTCAGTATCTGAAGGGAGGCTGACAGGATGGAGCCAGGCTCTGCTCGGTGGTGCCCAGCAACAGAGCAAGAGGAAAAGGGCAGAAAGTGATGCACAGGAAATTCCACATGAATAGGAGGAACTTCTTTCCTGTGTGGGTAACCGTGCACCGCAAGACGGCCCAGAGAAGTTGTGGAGTCTCCCTCTCTGGAGATGACAGGATTTGTCTGGGCACTATCCTGTGCCGCGTACTGTGGGGTGACCCTGCTTTATCAGGGAGGTTGGCTCAGGTGACCCACAGTGTCCTCTCCACCCCGACCTATTCTGTGAACTTTTTTGGCGCACAGTGTGTTTTCTCTCCTGTTTCTTCACTTCAGCTTAAAAAATCGAAGGAAAAATTTTTATGGGTGATAAGAATAGAAGACAAAGGGACATCAGAATGCCATGCACACAACTGCAGTTAATCTTACACTGCCTTCTCACCACCATGGCCATGTGGGCACAATCAGTTTTTTGGAAGTCAGGCAATTTTTTCATGAACTAACTGAAATGGCTTCTGCACTGTTCTTCAATAGTGAAATGAGCAGAAATACAGTTGTTTTAAATGTTTTAGGTAGTTCTTTCTTCAGAAAGAGACAGAATGTGTTACAAGATTGTCACTAGTACTGCAGTGTCAGTTATTAGTGATGTTTCATTCATTACTCAGCTTTTTACACTATTTAAACTCTTGGTTATAAAAAAGGGCAACAGGAGCTTAAACAAAACCCCCCTACAGAAAGAAAAACAGCTCTTCAGAACTTTGTTCTGAAGCAGAGGCTTGAGATGTCTGCAGTTCTAGTACATGCCAAAACGAACAGCCCCTTCTGCTGTTGCCATGTTAAAGAGGGCGAGGAAAAAGCAAGGTGGGGCAGAGTGAGAGGTATTATGTGTGTCAAAGAATCTTGGGCCCTTGATTCAAAATCATAGGGGTACAGTGTGTGCTTCAATCACGCTTCTAAGAACCTAAATGTGTTCCTACCTTCTTGCTCCTCTGAAATGAAGCAAAGTTGAGGTTCTGTCTGAATAGGTTTAGGAGTTCCTCATTCAGAGGAGAGTCCAAATAACATGCATGATTCACAACCAGAAGCCAGGCAGAGTGGTTAAGAAAAGCTAAATTTATATTAAATTATCATCAACCCCTAAAATATTGAACACAGTGGTTAAATAACTCCAGAAAATCCAATGTCTCCAGTGAGTAACGTTAAAACCATTACACAGGAACACATGGAAATCACTGTCGTTAGCTCAGAACAGACAGGAAAGAGGTTTGCTTTTTACACAGTAAATCAGTGCTCAAGAGATCTTCCTCCAGTAGCCTTTCTACATTCTTAACATCCTAAGTGCAACGAGGGTCTTCTCTTCCCCAGACTGGGGAACCATGATGCATCCCCAAGGCAGCATCTCACTGGGGCTGTCTCTAGAAAAAAGACACAAATTTCTGCCCACCTCACTAGTAGAGGAGGCTGTGTAACATTTTATTGCTCCTTTTCACCATAATCATTTGAGGAAGGGAGCAGAGAGCAGTTATGAATGGTTGTTAGGCTGGAGTGCACAGGGTGTCTCCTAAGAAGCAGCAGAGAATATTAATCAAGGTGGAGATCACAAACACCATGAGCTGTTGAAAAGACTGACTATTTTTCCTTTCCCTTCCACACTTGTGACTTGGACAGCAATTACTCTGACAGGCTGACTTAATCTTAAGTGACAGGTCTGGGCAGATGTTTCCCTTCACCCCTGTCCCACCTCAGGATTTTGGTGCATGGTCGCATAAGCTACTGGGAAAAAAAAAGAGCAACCCATTCCAAAACCCAAAGAAACCCAGCTCTTCTACAGGTCAGAGCTTTCTTCCCCAGTCTCCCTACTCCCAGCCCTGATGCCCCTGCCCCTACACATGGTTTCTGCTCAAATTGATTCTTCTGCTTATGCTTGAGCCCTCTGGTGTTGTCCCTTTGTGAAGTGGCTTAGATGGGCAGGGCCCATGTCAGTGATATGCACTCCTTTCTCAGTTCCCAGTCAAGTCCACACCTCTACCCAAAAGTGCCTCTGCCCAACAAAATCAATGCTTCCAAGGCTGGAGTCAAACAAATAAATAATTAAATAAAAATCTAATTTAAAAAAATAAAAGTAAATCCCTCTGGGAGTAGGGAAGAGTCCCACAGTAACACAGGGAAACCCAAGCCTTAGTTCCAGTTCATTTTCCACAGGAATATACACCAGTCAGCCCAATGGTGCAGTTAGGGACAGAGTCTCAAGCCACCTAGCCAGGTCGAAGCTGCAACCTTCCCCTATCTATAAAGCTACCTCTGCTGTGAAAAGTACAGGCAAACTGCTGTGTTTTTCAGGGATAGCAGGCCTGTTAGCATATAAACAAGGTTTGAGCAGAGTAGGATGATTCTCCTTTTTAATCAGCTGAAAAAAATATTGCATGGGAGATGTACCCTTCCCCCACCTCTAAACCATACCCCAGTGCATGTTTTGCTCTCTTTACACCGTGGATGGGAATGTACTTGACCTCTTTCCATGTGATAAAAGAGGTTACAAAGTTTGCAGCGAGAAATTCTTCACTGGGAAATTCTGCTTCCAAGGACCTGACTTAATAGTAAATATTTTACCATATGATTTGAGGGGTTAATAAAAATTTTGTTTTTGAAGAAATGTCAAGCAATATTTTATCTTTTTTCTTTTTGAACAGATGACAAGAGAGTATGAAGAGGTGGCACTAGGAGCATTAGCCATTGGGAGCATGCAAGACCCAGCTCCAAATGTTGCTGGGTTTTGGCTGCACAGGTAGAATGACATTCCCTAAAGGGTAAGAGTCTTGGAGGCCAGAGAACAACTGAAGCTCATGCAGCTGATGGGAAAAATTATTTGGCAAGGAGAGCTATTTAGTGGTAACAGAAGAACTTAAAGTGCAATTCTATCTGATAAACAACTACTTTAAATGGTCCTTGCAGCTCCCTGATTATTGTCTCCCATTCTAGGTCAAATGGGCTCAGCCTAGTAATAAAGCAGTTCCTAACTGTCAGCACTGAGCATTCCCCTGGGAAAGACTCGACCTAGGAATTTTCTCTTTTCCCTTATTATGGTAATCAAAGGTCCTAAAGGCTAAAATAATTGGGACCTTGCAGAATTGGGACTAGTGGGGACCTAGCAAATTTTCTTTTTCTTTTTTTATATATCAGTTATGCAAAGATGAGTAAAATATAGGTCTTGCTGAGATCCATTTCCCCCCATTAGCTCTATAGAGCTAAGTAAAATACTAATTTCTTCTTGTCTTGAGTTCAGCACTCAGATTCCAGTACTCAGGGAACAATTCTGAAAGGGGCATTTGCTGACTCTTGTTTTTCCAGAGTAGAAACATGTTTTAACAGGAAAGGGGAGAATAAGAGCAGTGTCCACTGCCAGCAACAGACACAGTGCTCCAATCTGAGCATTCCTTAAAGTTTTTAGTTGCAGATATGAAAGTAAGCAGTGATGCTCTCATGAAGTGAGTCCTGGCAACTATGGTTATTCTCTTTACGCCTTTACAAGGTGACCTGATGCTGTGTCAGTGTCCTCTTGAGCCCCAAAACATATCCCATCTATACCAAGACCTCTCTCATGTCAGAGACCCCTCAACACAAAGCCTCAAAGAGTGCTGCTAGTGCTGGAATGACATGGGGTACTTCTGTGACCAGGAGCCAGCAATGAGGCAGCTCTGCTCTCTTCATGGGCATTGACCGTGAGCTGGATGGCACAGGACTTGCAGGTTGCCAGGGAACAGAGACTCCCAACCAGACTCAGGCCAGACGAGTCACTGCAGAAGTTAATGTGGCAACTTCCAGGAAAAGGGAACATATAAATAAACCACAGACAGTGAAAATGAGTCAAAAGGGTCTCTGGGTTTCAACCAACCCACTCATCCTCCTCCAAACACAACAACACAGCTGCCGAAGCTCCATGCTGAAAGGCAGTCCCAGTCTCAGGCCCCTCATAAGAGAGGCTGATCTCTGTGCCCTTCCTTGCCAGGAAGGCAGAGTCCTGTCTTTTTTGTGCAGAGCAGAGGGTAGGGAGGGTGCAACTGTTTCCAAAGCCACGTGTACTTTAGACCTCGCTCTCTGTGGAGGGTTTGCGTTGGTGTTTCCAGCCTGTGTCTGGGAGTGAGCCCCACCGCTCAGGAGTGGCTGCTGCTGTGTTAACACTGCTGCATTCAGACTGTTCTTCCTGTAGCAGCTGCTCAGTTTCAGTGTCATCCAGTGAACCAGAACTGGCCTGGATAGAGACCGTATCCGTCTTCATGCAGACGTGGTCCCGGAGGATCCCTCCACGGGAGCTCCGAATCTGCTTAAGGTCATCCCATTCAGAATCATCACTGGATAAAAGGCATATTCCCTCCACAATCTTGATCTTCTCCTTAGTGTAGCTGTGGTCAGGACCAGTCTAGGGAGAAGACAGATGAATGAAAAAAATACATCTATGGAAAAA